CAAGCCCTTTTATCCCAATGGTCTAGTGGTTGGGATTCTGATATGGTATCAGAGCGAAGGTCTTGGGTTCGAATCCCGGTGTATGCACTTCGGGCATCCCAGTGCGGGGGGGTGTCAGAGGTCCACTGGTGATCCCCGATTGATCCTAGGGAAGGGTTACAGGCATGTTGGCCTGGGGGGTTATGGGCGCACTGACCCGATACTTAACAAGCCCTTTTATCCCAATGGTCTAGTGGTTGGGATTCTGACAAGCAGGAGCGGCTAGGGCCCCGGAGGTATGGTCGAAGAGCAAGACCTCGTCTTTGCTAGTGCTCATGAGGTAGAGCTGCAAGTCGTCTAGCCAGGAGTCGAACTCTACAGGGCGGCCCTCGGTGTCGAAAGAAAGAACTCGAAGGGTGGCCATAATGCTAGGTGGTGACGAGCAGCAGGAGCAGTGCGCAAGCAGGACGCTCGACAGGCGAACAGGGCGCAGGTAGGGCGTGCGGCAGGAGGGCGCTAGCACAGGTAGGGGGCGTGTCTGCTGGCAGCGCGTCAGGCGGGGCGTGCGGCAGTGGGCAGCGCACAGGCGGGGCGTGCGTCCGCGGGCGGCGCGTCAGGCAGGGCGTGCGGCAGCGGGCAGCGCGCAGGCGACGCGCGCGTCAGCGGGCGGGGCGGCAGGAGGGCGTGCGACGCGGCAGTAGGGGGCGCGACACGGCAGCAGGGGGCGCGACGCGGCAGCAGGGGGCGCGACGCGGCAGCAGGGCGCGCGACGCGGCAGCAGGGCGCCCGACGCGGCAGCAGGGCGCCCGACGCGGCAGCAGGGCGCGCGACGCGGCAGCAGGGCACGCGACGCGGCAGCAGGGCGCGACGCGACAAGAGGGCGTGCGTGGGGCGACAGCAGGACGCGCGACGCGAAAAAAAAAAAAAAAAAAAAAAAAAAAAAAAAAAAAAGGCACCGCGCGGGCAGGCACGTGCAGGAAGGACAGATCAGTACGGTGGGCCCACAGAATCAGGTCCTAGGGACCTCCTGCTCTGAAACCATGTCAAACAGGTAGGCTAGGAATGAGTGACTAGAGAAATGAGTTGGGTACAAAAAATGTGAAACCGTAAACTAATGTACCCCCTATTGTCAACCCCACTACAGCCTAGACATTAGCCTAAGCCATATATCTTTGACACGCCCACCTTTCGCTTTAGTTTTCGCAACTGCCGTTTCTGATGTGATTTCCTCTCCTTCTTCCACCGCATGTGGTCCTGTGTCCGCAGGGTTCGTGGTCGAGGCGACGGGTACAGTAAGAGCACAAAAGGTTCCATCGAGGTCGGATCGTTGATAATCGGTCTCTTCTGGATGGCTCCATCTTGGTGGTGACGGGTGGCCGGGTGGATCAAGGACGAGGATGTGATGGTTGTCGCCAGAGGTCTTGGGTGACTCGAAGTCGAGCACGAATACACCTTCTACGCTTGTCGCTTTTCCGATGAAAATTACGTCATATTTTTAATGAAGTTCGTTTTCTGTTGTTTGCAGGCCGACTTCACACTTCATCAGCTGGTCGCGGGATCGAAGGTTATACTGAAGCTCGGGCATGACGAGGACGTTGCTGATGTGGATGCAGTAGCCGGTGTCGTGAGATTCCAACTGTATCTATCCGCGGTTCCTCGCGTAAATGGTTTGGCTGTTGGCGAGGTGATTTCAACCGTCTTGAAGAGCTCTTCACTGTTGAGAATGAAGATGCTCGACGACACCATGTGTTGGCCGCAACAACTGTCCAGGTACCATTTATTGATCTCCTTTTTTGCCTTGGCGAGGTTTGCGAGCTTCGGTGTGATATGATGCTCCATGTCGTGTTCCCTCTCATAATCGTAGTAACACCCTTCTTCGGCGTGTGCGATGCGTGCAGGTGGCGATTCTTGGATCCACTGCGGCGCTTCCCAATCATACTACATCCGACCGACTGTTAGCTCGTCGTAGGTCAGGTCATTCTCTTCTTCATCTTCAAACAAACCTTCGGGCCGCTCTTGAGGTGGGTCTGCGAACATGTCCTCCTAGCTGTGGAAGAAGCGGTAGTGTCGGTTTGGGCGAGGCGGTACCCGACGCACCATGCAGGTTAATACCTCGCTTTTGCCTTTGTCGTTTGTGCGCGCAGGGATACACGGCGGAGCTTGAGATGTGCTGGCGATGGCTGGTGGTGACACTGTCTGATTGCGTGCTGGAGCTCCTCCTTGCTGGTGCATTACGTCACCCTTTTGGTTGTTGTTGTTGCCGTTCAGCTTCCAGCACACTTGAATTGTATGTCCTGTCTTCTTGCAGTACTTGCAGAAGAGCATTTTCTTGTCCGGTGGCACTTGCACGTAAAAGGCGATTTTCTCCTTCTTGTTGCCTCTTTCGTTGTACAGATCGATCTCCTGTTGCTCGGCAAGAAGCGAGGCATAGAGGGAGGTTTCGCTGAGGGTTCCTTGAGTGCGAAGGAGCGACTTGCAGTAGCGCCAATCCGCGCTCAGTCCAGCAAGGATGATAGTGACGAACATATCATCAGGGAAGTTACCGCCGCTTTTCCTGAATTGATCTCTTAAGTTTATTCAGCGATTGATGTACAGTCCGGCCTTTTCGTTGGGGAACATTTTGACGTTGTTCAGCTAGTTGAGCAGGCGACTAAGTGTCACCGAGTCTGTTGCCATGTGGCAGATGCGCAGGTGTTCCCAGGATTTTGCGCGGGTGCACACTTGTTCTTGAAGGGGCGAATGCTCAGCTGTTCTTCAGGCGACAGGTTCCGGATTAAGACGGTGAAGGCCAGCAGCGATTCGTTGTAGTACTGTGTTTTCTCCTGATGTGAGCCGTTAGTCGAAAATGCGTACGACCCATCGTAGTACATCCAAATATGTGCGCCTTGAGCCATGAGTTCGGATTCGAAGCTCCAGGTGTAAAAATCCTTTTCGTCAAAGGGCTTGGTAGTCCTGAGCTTCGCGGTCGAGAGGAATTTGCTCTGCATTGACGCCATTGCTTCGTAATGTGTTTGTTGTGCTTGTGCAGATCCTTGAGCTCCGCGATTGTCGAAGGTAAAGAATCGCTCGGACCCAGCTCCTTGAGGATCGTGAGGTCTTCGGGCGTAACTAGAGCCGTCAATGCTCATTGTCTGGTGGCTCTCCAGGGCGCTGATGCGGGAGATGAGCTGCTCGAGGAGAACTGAATCTACGGTCGTTGTTGTAGAAACGACATTGGTGGAGGGATGTACTATATTTTCTCCAGCCTCTCCGCAGTCTGCGCCTGGCACAGGGCTGACGTTTCAAATAGAGGCACCCTTAATGTACCCCCCCCCCCAAAAAAAAAAAACTCTGAAGGCACTTCGGCCAGAAACGAGGTACTCTGATTGGTCAGTGTTCTGAAGTCAGGAAGTCTGACCATTCAGGGTTGGCCGGGTCGACATCAGACATCAACCTCATGCAGCACTGTTGCCCAATTTCTTGTGCTGACGCATTCCATGTGCTGCGCCGCGTGACTCAGCTAAGCAAGCGCCGTCAGAGCAGATTCTGCTTGGTAAAAACCGTGTCTTCATTCGCGAGCAAGCGTTGGTTGTACGAACTGTATTGAACGTGCCAAATGGGGTGGACAGCAATACACGCAGCGAGCTGAACTGTAGCAGCAGGTGCATTGCTTTGGGACACAAGAACATGCAAGTGGCGCACGAAATTTCTACCCATCTACGCCTTGTGCGGAGCAACAGCCACCCTTTTGCATCGAGTCAAAAATTAAGTTCACACGATTTGGCGCGAAGAACCGAATCGCGAAACAACGATTTCACGGGTGGCGGTATGTCCTCTTGCACCGATTCGCCGTGCGGTTCGCGAATCCGTTGTGCAATCCGCTAAAAACTGCTTTTTCGACTAGTTAAATATGTCGCTTCGGTTAGCCGAAGCAAATTAACCTCGGATAGGTATTAGTGACTAAAAAGTGTACTCACGTGTCCTGGCTGGTGCATTGCACGTGCTCACTTGCTGAAGGTGGGTGTATCGGAACGAAGTTTCTAGGAAGCTTCGTCTCGATAGACTCGCATTCAGGGCCCAAAGAACGTATACTCTGTAGAGACAGACTCCAAAAACAACTAACTGGAGCCTATTGCACTGAATCAGGGGCCATAAAACAATAAGTCTGAGGCTCTCAGTGATGAAAATTGGACTACTCTGGAAATACATTTTTCGCAAACTGGATGGTCTGATTCGAGACTAAACTGGGGCTCCTGTGCGCCCTGCACTAGTTTTAGGAGCCCCAAAATTTACAGCAACTCCCAAGGCACACATGCTGTCTCGCCAATAGCTGGGCAGCAGGCGCCTAGAGTCACCCGATATTTACATACGTCGTCGCGTTACTCACACGGAACGTGACAGTCAAACGAGTGCTTCACCACGCTACCCCACGTTTAGCGCGCGTATTCACCCGCGCTCTCCCTCGCCACCCGCGCCCGCCCTCGTCACTTGCGCCTGCCCTCGTCACTCGCGCCTGCCCTCGTCACTCGCGCCTGCCCTCGTCACTCGCGCCTGCCCTCGTCACTCGCGCCTGCCCTCGTCACTCGCGCCTGTCCACGTCACTCGCGCTTGCCCGGGATTCCGTGCTTCTGCTCGTCATCCGTTTCCCTTCGTCGCGCGCATTTCCGCCAGTCGCGCACGCGCCTTCGCGTCACGCTCGCTTCCCCTCGATGCGCCCTCTCCTCCCGCGCGTTTCCCCTCGTTACCCGCTATCCTCCCACGCGCGTAACGCGCGCTTCCCTTCGGCAGACGCCCTGCTCCCCTCGTCACGCGCTCAATCATTCAGTCGCGATCTTCCGTAGATCAATAGCTGAAGCCGACGTCACGCGCATGTGTCGTTGCCCCAGTTGCTGCTGCCTGGCCCTCCCCTCCTGTCGTCGCCTCCGCCACCCCAATTGGATGGCGTTTGTCCTTATCGCCAACCCCTACCCACGTCGCCATCGGCACCATCGTGTGTAGCATCTCCCTCATACGCCCTTGCTCCGTCCAGCCGCAGTGAGTGCCTACTGATGTGATGGGCAGAGCAGGAGGGACAGAGGGGGATGACCAGCTGAGGGGGGGATGGTGTCACATTGAAAGCTTGATTGATGGGCGGTGGACAGGAAGGGAACGGGCTGGGGAGATGGGAAGGTCAGAAGGATAAGGACAAGGGGGAGAGGGGGAAGGACAAAGGGGGAGAGACAGAGGGGGAGGAACAGGGGGGAGGGCAGAGGGGGAGAGACAGAGGGGGAAGGACACAGGTGGATAGACAGAGGGCGAAGGGACGAGAGGGAGAGACAGAATGGGAAGGATGGAGGGGGAGGGAGGGGGAAGGGCAGAGGGTGAGAGCCAGAGGTGAGAGCGGGTTTACCGCCCAATCTATTGTGGTTTGCCTCACCTGCTTCCCCCCTCCCTCCTCCCAGCTTCCCCCCTCCCTCCTCCCTGCTTCCCCCCTCCCTTCCCCCTGCTTCCCCCCTCCCTCCTCCCTGCTTCTCCCCTCCCTCCGCCCTGCTTCCCCCCACCCTCATAGAGGTGAGCGTCATGCACCAGGTGAGCCTTAGCTTTCTCCATATGCAACCCCTCTACCTCGATTCAACCATCTTGCTTGTCCCTCCCCATGTACCTCTCCAATCCCTCCCCATGTACCTCTCCAATCCCTCCCCATGTACCTCTCCAATCCCTCCCCATGTACCTCTCCAATCCCTCCCCATGTGCCTCTCCAATCCCTCCCCATGTACCTCTCCAATCCCTCCCCATGTACCTCTCCAATCCCTCCCCATGAGCCTTTTCTCCCCCTCCCCATGTGCCTTTCCTCTTCATCCCACGCACAACAAGGGGGCAGCGCAGCAGAGTTGGGAACAAGCTCATTTTATATTCACCCCCTCTTCCTGCCTCCACCCGACTCCTTGCAGGGCTATTTGGCGTTCATTCACATCCGGAAGGAGGAGGGTGGGCGCAGGTGCAACTAGGGGGCAGCGCAGCAGACTTTGGAACGAGCTCACGTTCCCCATGCCCCGTGCTCTCTCGACTTCCCTTCTTATTCCAGACCTATCTGGATTGCATTCACATTAGCAAGGAGAAGGGTGGGCGCATGTGCATGTTTATGCTTACGCAAGCAGGAGGACCATAGCTCCACACAGATGGCGACAGCACTGGTTGCTAAAGGTGTTGGCATTAGCACAGATTGTCACATGCTGGTTGAACAGAGGCAGTTCATAAGGCTAACTCCATCCTCACTTCCAACTGCCTAAATTGTCTATGAATACTATAATATGTGCAAGCGGTCATTCAATGTGTCGCTATGCAGATTGTTACGAACGTAGATGCATCCTAGCATGACCAGGTTTAGGACAGAACGGGAAAGACCACTAAACCCACTCAAGCATGGCATGTTGAAGACCACAGGTGCATCATGGGGAAGTAAACACAACCTATTCACTCATCCTGACCTGCCACCCATAGCTCCACTTCCTCCCCATCGTAACGGCCTTCTATCCACCACTCATCACCACTGTCGCTCCACTCCCCCGCATCTCTTATCACTGCGTTTGCCGCATCCTCCTCCTGATCCGATGGGGTTTCATCCACATCCCTTTCACAGTGGTAACCTGCAATTAGCGCCAATGAGATGGATGGTAAGCCAGATTTTAGGACGGTGTGCCTGTCGCGCTAAGTAATCTCGGGGACAACCAGCTGGGCAGGGCAGGGGTGGGGCATGCTGGACCCCGGGGGGGGGGGAGGGGAAAGGGTGGGGCGGGGCATGACAGGGCAGGGCAGAGCTGCAAGGACAGGGCAGAGCCGCAAGGACACGTGACACAACTGCAAGGACAGGGCAGATCTGCAAGGACAGGGCAGATCTGCAAGGACAGGGCAGAGCTGCAAGGACAGGGCAGAGCTGCCAGGACAGGGCAGAGCTGCAAGGGCAGGGCAGAGCTGCAAGGACAGGGCAGAGCTGCAAGGACAGGGCAGAGCTGCAAGGACATGGCAGAGCTGCAAGGACATGGCAGAGCCGCAAGGACACGTGACACAATTGCAAGGACAGGGCAGATCTGCAAGGACAGGGCAGAGCTGCAAGGACAGGGCAGAGCTGCCAGGACAGGGCAGAGCTGCAAGGACAGGGCAGAGCTGCCAGGACAGGGCAGAGCTGCCAGGACAAGGCAGAGCTGCAAGGACAGGGCAGTGCTGCCAGGACAAGGCAGAGCAGCAAGGCAGCAGCGGCAGAGCTGCAAGGACAGGGCAGAGCTGCAAGGACAGGGCAGATCATGTCCTGGGAGCAGACCAGGGCGGGGCGGGCAGGGCATGGCCCCTGTAGGCATGGTATGGCATGCATAGAGGGTGCAGACAAGGGCGGGGAGGGGCAGGACAGGGCGGGGCGGGGCAGGACAGGGCAGGGCAGGGCGGGGCAGGACAGGGCAGGGCAGGGCGGGGAAGGGCACGACAGGGCAGAGCAACATGCCATGCGAATCATGTCCTGGGATGGCATGGCATGATTAAAGCCCAAGACCTGAATTACAAAGAAAGGAAGGCAAACTGTGCACAGTTTGCCTTCCGAGCCCACAGTTGACTTCCCGAGCCTCTCTGGTTACCAAATGACGCCCCGCCAAAAACCAGGGAGTCTTAGAGCAGCGGAGGCTTGGTTGGCGAGAGTCCCAACGGTTCCCTCCTGAAAGGAGTAGGGCAAGCTGTGCACAGTTTGGAAATTGTTGTAATTCAGGTCAAGCTCGACCACATAGTATGCACGAGAAACTCCTAGGTAGAACAGAAAGCCAATAGAGCTGGAGCCCACTCCTAGGTAGTATGCATCTCGTCTCCAAGGTCGATACTAATAATCATACGGTCGATCGCTGTCATTTCCCGCGCATTCGCCCTATGTTTGCATCAGCTCTATTCCCCTCCCGCGCCTCCTCGTCGACGTCACACCCTGCCACCCACGCTTCCCCTCGTCGACGTCACCGTGCCCCATTACGTCGCTACTTTTACGTCTTCGATCGCACTCTTCCTCAGTTGTCTCCCCACCACTCCCCACTCTCCTCACAGGGTTGCCCACTCGATCGCCCTGGCTTCGTCCTACTGCCGACATCGTGTTTGATTGTATCGCCTTCCGCGTCCCCCACGCTTCCCCCCACCGCCCCCCACACTTCCCCCCACCGTCGCCAACGCTTCCTCCCGCTGTCGCTCACACTTCACTCCGTCGTTGCCCACACTACCCCTCCCGTCACCCACCTTCACCGCCGTCCACGCTTCCCCCCTGTCGCCCACGCTTCCTCCCACCGTCGCCCACGCTTCCTCCCACCGTCGCCCACGCTTCCTCCAACCGTCGCCCACGCTTCCTCCCACCGTCGCCCTCGCTTCCTCCCACCGTCGCCCTCGCTTCCTCCCACCGTCGCCCACGCTTCCTCCCTCCCTCCTCCCAGCTTCCCCCCTCCCTCCTCCCTGCTTCCCCCCTCCCTTCCCCCTGCTTCCCCCCTCCCTCCTCCCTGCTTCCCCCCTCCCTCCTCCCTGCTTCCCCCCACCCTCATAGAGGTGAGCGTCATGCACCAGGTGAGCCTTAGCTTTCTCCATATGCAACCCCTCTACCTCGATTCAACCATCTTGCTTGTCCCTCCCCATGTACCTCTCCAATCCCTCCCCATGTACCTCTCCAATCCCTCCCCATGTACCTCTCCAATCCCTCCCCATGTACCTCTCCAATCCCTCCCCATGTGCCTCTCCAATCCCTCCCCATGTACCTCTCCAATCCCTCCCCATGTACCTCTCCAATCCCTCCCCATGAGCCTTTTCTCCCCCTCCCCATGTGCCTTTCCTCTTCATCCCACGCACAACAAGGGGGCAGCGCAGCAGAGTTGGGAACAAGCTCATTTTATATTCACCCCCTCTTCCTGCCTCCACCCGACTCCTTGCAGGGCTATTTGGCGTTCATTCACATCCGGAAGGAGGAGGGTGGGCGCAGGTGCAACTAGGGGGCAGCGCAGCAGACTTTGGAACGAGCTCACGTTCCCCATGCCCCGTGCTCTCTCGACTTCCCTTCTTATTCCAGACCTATCTGGATTGCATTCACATTAGCAAGGAGAAGGGTGGGCGCATGTGCATGTTTATGCTTACGCAAGCAGGAGGACCATAGCTCCACACAGATGGCGACAGCACTGGTTGCTAAAGGTGTTGGCATTAGCACAGATTGTCACATGCTGGTTGAACAGAGGCAGTTCATAAGGCTAACTCCATCCTCACTTCCAACTGCCTAAATTGTCTATGAATACTATAATATGTGCAAGCGGTCATTCAATGTGTCGCTATGCAGATTGTTACGAACGTAGATGCATCCTAGCATGACCAGGTTTAGGACAGAACGGGAAAGACCACTAAACCCACTCAAGCATGGCATGTTGAAGACCACAGGTGCATCATGGGGAAGTAAACACAACCTATTCACTCATCCTGACCTGCCACCCATAGCTCCACTTCCTCCCCATCGTAACGGCCTTCTATCCACCACTCATCACCACTGTCGCTCCACTCCCCCGCATCTCTTATCACTGCGTTTGCCGCATCCTCCTCCTGATCCGATGGGGTTTCATCCACATCCCTTTCACAGTGGTAACCTGCAATTAGCGCCAATGAGATGGATGGTAAGCCAGATTTTAGGACGGTGTGCCTGTCGCGCTAAGTAATCTCGGGGACAACCAGCTGGGCAGGGCAGGGGTGGGGCATGCTGGACCCCGGGGGGGGGGGGAGGGGAAAGGGTGGGGCGGGGCATGACAGGGCAGGGCAGAGCTGCAAGGACAGGGCAGAGCCGCAAGGACACGTGACACAACTGCAAGGACAGGGCAGATCTGCAAGGACAGGGCAGATCTGCAAGGACAGGGCAGAGCTGCAAGGACAGGGCAGAGCTGCCAGGACAGGGCAGAGCTGCAAGGGCAGGGCAGAGCTGCAAGGACAGGGCAGAGCTGCAAGGACAGGGCAGAGCTGCAAGGACATGGCAGAGCTGCAAGGACATGGCAGAGCCGCAAGGACACGTGACACAATTGCAAGGACAGGGCAGATCTGCAAGGACAGGGCAGAGCTGCAAGGACAGGGCAGAGCTGCCAGGACAGGGCAGAGCTGCAAGGACAGGGCAGAGCTGCCAGGACAGGGCAGAGCTGCCAGGACAAGGCAGAGCTGCAAGGACAGGGCAGTGCTGCCAGGACAAGGCAGAGCAGCAAGGCAGCAGCGGCAGAGCTGCAAGGACAGGGCAGAGCTGCAAGGACAGGGCAGATCATGTCCTGGGAGCAGACCAGGGCGGGGCGGGCAGGGCATGGCCCCTGTAGGCATGGTATGGCATGCATAGAGGGTGCAGACAAGGGCGGGGAGGGGCAGGACAGGGCGGGGCGGGGCAGGACAGGGCAGGGCAGGGCGGGGCAGGACAGGGCAGGGCAGGGCGGGGAAGGGCACGACAGGGCAGAGCAACATGCCATGCGAATCATGTCCTGGGATGGCATGGCATGATTAAAGCCCAAGACCTGAATTACAAAGAAAGGAAGGCAAACTGTGCACAGTTTGCCTTCCGAGCCCACAGTTGACTTCCCGAGCCTCTCTGGTTACCAAATGACGCCCCGCCAAAAACCAGGGAGTCTTAGAGCAGCGGAGGCTTGGTTGGCGAGAGTCCCAACGGTTCCCTCCTGAAAGGAGTAGGGCAAGCTGTGCACAGTTTGGAAATTGTTGTAATTCAGGTCAAGCTCGACCACATAGTATGCACGAGAAACTCCTAGGTAGAACAGAAAGCCAATAGAGCTGGAGCCCACTCCTAGGTAGTATGCATCTCGTCTCCAAGGTCGATACTAATAATCATACGGTCGATCGCTGTCATTTCCCGCGCATTCGCCCTATGTTTGCATCAGCTCTATTCCCCTCCCGCGCCTCCTCGTCGACGTCACACCCTGCCACCCACGCTTCCCCTCGTCGACGTCACCGTGCCCCATTACGTCGCTACTTTTACGTCTTCGATCGCACTCTTCCTCAGTTGTCTCCCCACCACTCCCCACTCTCCTCACAGGGTTGCCCACTCGATCGCCCTGGCTTCGTCCTACTGCCGACATCGTGTTTGATTGTATCGCCTTCCGCGTCCCCCACGCTTCCCCCCACCGCCCCCCACACTTCCCCCCACCGTCGCCAACGCTTCCTCCCGCTGTCGCTCACACTTCACTCCGTCGTTGCCCACACTACCCCTCCCGTCACCCACCTTCACCGCCGTCCACGCTTCCCCCCTGTCGCCCACGCTTCCTCCCACCGTCGCCCACGCTTCCTCCCACCGTCGCCCACGCTTCCTCCAACCGTCGCCCACGCTTCCTCCCACCGTCGCCCTCGCTTCCTCCCACCGTCGCCCTCGCTTCCTCCCACCGTCGCCCACGCTTCCTCCCTCCCTCCTCCCAGCTTCCCCCCTCCCTCCTCCCTGCTTCCCCCCTCCCTTCCCCCTGCTTCCCCCCTCCCTCCTCCCTGCTTCCCCCCTCCCTCCTCCCTGCTTCCCCCCACCCTCATAGAGGTGAGCGTCATGCACCAGGTGAGCCTTAGCTTTCTCCATATGCAACCCCTCTACCTCGATTCAACCATCTTGCTTGTCCCTCCCCATGTACCTCTCCAATCCCTCCCCATGTACCTCTCCAATCCCTCCCCATGTACCTCTCCAATCCCTCCCCATGTACCTCTCCAATCCCTCCCCATGTGCCTCTCCAATCCCTCCCCATGTACCTCTCCAATCCCTCCCCATGTACCTCTCCAATCCCTCCCCATGAGCCTTTTCTCCCCCTCCCCATGTGCCTTTCCTCTTCATCCCACGCACAACAAGGGGGCAGCGCAGCAGAGTTGGGAACAAGCTCATTTTATATTCACCCCCTCTTCCTGCCTCCACCCGACTCCTTGCAGGGCTATTTGGCGTTCATTCACATCCGGAAGGAGGAGGGTGGGCGCAGGTGCAACTAGGGGGCAGCGCAGCAGACTTTGGAACGAGCTCACGTTCCCCATGCCCCGTGCTCTCTCGACTTCCCTTCTTATTCCAGACCTATCTGGATTGCATTCACATTAGCAAGGAGAAGGGTGGGCGCATGTGCATGTTTATGCTTACGCAAGCAGGAGGACCATAGCTCCACACAGATGGCGACAGCACTGGTTGCTAAAGGTGTTGGCATTAGCACAGATTGTCACATGCTGGTTGAACAGAGGCAGTTCATAAGGCTAACTCCATCCTCACTTCCAACTGCCTAAATTGTCTATGAATACTATAATATGTGCAAGCGGTCATTCAATGTGTCGCTATGCAGATTGTTACGAACGTAGATGCATCCTAGCATGACCAGGTTTAGGACAGAACGGGAAAGACCACTAAACCCACTCAAGCATGGCATGTTGAAGACCACAGGTGCATCATGGGGAAGTAAACACAACCTATTCACTCATCCTGACCTGCCACCCATAGCTCCACTTCCTCCCCATCGTAACGGCCTTCTATCCACCACTCATCACCACTGTCGCTCCACTCCCCCGCATCTCTTATCACTGCGTTTGCCGCATCCTCCTCCTGATCCGATGGGGTTTCATCCACATCCCTTTCACAGTGGTAACCTGCAATTAGCGCCAATGAGATGGATGGTAAGCCAGATTTTAGGACGGTGTGCCTGTCGCGCTAAGTAATCTCGGGGACAACCAGCTGGGCAGGGCAGGGGTGGGGCATGCTGGACCCCGGGGGGGGGGGAGGGGAAAGGGTGGGGCGGGGCATGACAGGGCAGGGCAGAGCTGCAAGGACAGGGCAGAGCCGCAAGGACACGTGACACAACTGCAAGGACAGGGCAGATCTGCAAGGACAGGGCAGATCTGCAAGGACAGGGCAGAGCTGCAAGGACAGGGCAGAGCTGCCAGGACAGGGCAGAGCTGCAAGGGCAGGGCAGAGCTGCAAGGACAGGGCAGAGCTGCAAGGACAGGGCAGAGCTGCAAGGACATGGCAGAGCTGCAAGGACATGGCAGAGCCGCAAGGACACGTGACACAATTGCAAGGACAGGGCAGATCTGCAAGGACAGGGCAGAGCTGCAAGGACAGGGCAGAGCTGCCAGGACAGGGCAGAGCTGCAAGGACAGGGCAGAGCTGCCAGGACAGGGCAGAGCTGCCAGGACAAGGCAGAGCTGCAAGGACAGGGCAGTGCTGCCAGGACAAGGCAGAGCAGCAAGGCAGCAGCGGCAGAGCTGCAAGGACAGGGCAGAGCTGCAAGGACAGGGCAGATCATGTCCTGGGAGCAGACCAGGGCGGGGCGGGCAGGGCATGGCCCCTGTAGGCATGGTATGGCATGCATAGAGGGTGCAGACAAGGGCGGGGAGGGGCAGGACAGGGCGGGGCGGGGCAGGACAGGGCAGGGCAGGGCGGGGCAGGACAGGGCAGGGCAGGGCGGGGAAGGGCACGACAGGGCAGAGCAACATGCCATGCGAATCATGTCCTGGGATGGCATGGCATGATTAAAGCCCAAGACCTGAATTACAAAGAAAGGAAGGCAAACTGTGCACAGTTTGCCTTCCGAGCCCACAGTTGACTTCCCGAGCCTCTCTGGTTACCAAATGACGCCCCGCCAAAAACCAGGGAGTCTTAGAGCAGCGGAGGCTTGGTTGGCGAGAGTCCCAACGGTTCCCTCCTGAAAGGAGTAGGGCAAGCTGTGCACAGTTTGGAAATTGTTGTAATTCAGGTCAAGCTCGACCACATAGTATGCACGAGAAACTCCTAGGTAGAACAGAAAGCCAATAGAGCTGGAGCCCACTCCTAGGTAGTATGCATCTCGTCTCCAAGGTCGATACTAATAATCATACGGTCGATCGCTGTCATTTCCCGCGCATTCGCCCTATGTTTGCATCAGCTCTATTCCCCTCCCGCGCCTCCTCGTCGACGTCACACCCTGCCACCCACGCTTCCCCTCGTCGACGTCACCGTGCCCCATTACGTCGCTACTTTTACGTCTTCGATCGCACTCTTCCTCAGTTGTCTCCCCACCACTCCCCACTCTCCTCACAGGGTTGCCCACTCGATCGCCCTGGCTTCGTCCTACTGCCGACATCGTGTTTGATTGTATCGCCTTCCGCGTCCCCCACGCTTCCCCCCACCGCCCCCCACACTTCCCCCCACCGTCGCCAACGCTTCCTCCCGCTGTCGCTCACACTTCACTCCGTCGTTGCCCACACTACCCCTCCCGTCACCCACCTTCACCGCCGTCCACGCTTCCCCCCTGTCGCCCACGCTTCCTCCCACCGTCGCCCACGCTTCCTCCCACCGTCGCCCACGCTTCCTCCAACCGTCGCCCACGCTTCCTCCCACCGTCGCCCTCGCTTCCTCCCACCGTCGCCCTCGCTTCCTCCCACCGTCGCCCACGCTTCCTCCCACCGTCGCCCACGCTTCCCCCCACCGTCGCCCACACTTTCCCCCACCGTCGCCCACGCTTTCCCCCACCTTCGCCCATGGCAGGTGGTGGTGCGGCTTTGGAGCAGAGTGTTGGGCGCACAGCCAGGGCAGCGCGTGCAGGCGGGCAGCAAGGAGTGCAGTGCTGCAGGGGACGGGTTAGGGGAGGCGGAGCGGGGGAGGCGGGGGTTAGGGAGAGAGGGTGCAGGGATCCTCCTATCCCCCTTATACCCTGCCACACTCTTACCTCCTGCCCTCCTCCCTTCCTCCGTTTTGTGGGGGCCCCACAGTCGTCCTCCTCTCCCTCTCTCTTCCACCCTTCCTCCATCTATCCCACACTCTCTGCCTCACTACCCTCTTTCCCCTTTCTGTTGCCCGTTCTCCCTCCCTTCCTCCCGCCCTCCCTTCCTGCCATTCTCCCTCTCCTCATCCTCCCTCGATCCAGTCCCCCTTTCCCTTTCCATTTCCCACTCGCCCACTCCCTTCCTCACGCCAACCCTGCTCCTCCGTTCCACCCATCCTCTCGTCCGCCCATCCTCTCATCCGCCCATCCTCTCATCCGCCCATCCTCTCATCCGCCCATCCACTCATCCCCCTTTCTCTCATTCGGCCATCCTCTCATCCCCCTTTCTCTCATTTGGCCATCCTCTCATCCCCCTTTCTCTCATCCGCCCATCCTCTCATCCCCCTTTCTCTCATTCGGCCATCCTCTCATCCCCCTTTCTCTCATTCGGCCATCCTCACATCCCCCTTTCTCTCATTCGGCCTTCATCCTCCCTCCCAACCCTCTGTCTCCTCCCTCACCTCCTCTCCTTCGTCACCACCTCTCCTCCCTCTTCGCCTCCCATTCCACATCTCCGCTGTGCAGATCGTGGCCTCAGCACCCGGGTTTCAAGAGAGTTTCTGTCCCCTCTTGTTCCCATCCTCACCTCCATCTGTTCCTCCCATCCTCCATCCTCGTTACCTCCCTGCCACCCTTTCTCCTCCCCACCCTCCTCCCCAGCCTCTCTTCCTCCCCTCCCTTCTGCTTCTCCCCCAAGCGTCCTTCCTACCTCCCTTCCTCCCATCATCACTTCCTGTCTTCCTTCATTCCTGCATTCCTGACTTCTTCCCTTCCTCCGTTCCTCCCTTCCACTTGCCAGTTGTCATTCTTTTGCATGCTTGCTTCCCTTATACTTCAGCCACGCCACATCTGATTTCTTGGTTTGTGTTTGGACAGGTTTGCTCTGCATCTGGTGGTGATGTGATGGCTGTCTCATAGTAACACTACGTATAGTCATGCCATGTATTGGATCCTTTTTTATAATACAGGACTATGAGCCTCGGAGCAGTCATACATATGACCGATACCAAGGAGTTCAACAATTATTATATTACCATATCTGTAAATTAAGGAGAATCACTCCACTCGAGTAGGGAACAATGCTGGGGGGTGTGCGTGCAATGTTGCTTCCCGGTTTTGACTGCTACACTGCAAGCTATAATCCAGGCCGTGGTACAGCCACATCTGGTGCTGGGCACCTGTAACTGCATTTGGGGGTATGGTGGTGAGTGAAGGGAGGCAGGGGAGGGCACGGGCGGAAGGAGGGATGGGGATGGGGGGAAGCAGGGATGGGGAGGGGGGGAGGCAGGGGAGGGGACGGGCGGAAGGAGGGAAGCAGGGATGGAGATGGGGGGAAGCAGGGATGGAGATGGGGGGAAGCAGGGATGGAGATGGGGGGAAGCAGGGATGGGGATGGGGGGAAGCAGGGATGGAGATGGGGGGAAGCAGGGATGGAGATGGGGGGAAGCAGGGATGGGGATGGGGGGAAGCAGGGATGGAGATGGGGGGAAGCAGGGATGGAGATGGGGGGAAGCAAGGATGGAGATGGGGGGAAGCAGGGATGGAGATGGGGGGAAGCAGGGATGGAGATGGGGGGAAGCAGGGATGGAGATGGGGGGAAGCAGGGATGGAGATGGGGGGAAGCAGGGATGGAGATGGGGGGAAGCAGGGATGGAGATGGGGGGAAGCAGGGATGGAGATGGGGGGAAGCAGGGATGGAGATGGGGGAAGCAGGGATGGGATGGGGGGAAGCAGGGATGGAGATGGGGGGAAGCAGGGATGGAGATGGGGGGAAGCAGGGATGGGGATGGGGGGAAGCAGGGATGGAGATGGGGGGAAGCAGGGATGGAGATGGGGGGAAGCAAGGATGGAGATGGGGGGAAGCAGGGATGGAGATGGGGGGAAGCAGGGATGGAGATGGGGGGAAGCAGGGATGGAGATGGGGGGAAGCAGGGATGGAGATGGGGGGAAGCAGGGATGGAGATGGGGGGAAGCAGGGATGGAGATGGGGGGAAGCAGGGATGGAGATGGGGGGAAGCAGGGATGGAGATGGGGGGAAGCAGGGATGGAGATGGGGGGAAGCAGGGATGGAGATGGGGGGAAGCAGGGATGGAGATGGGGGGAAGCAGGGATGGAGATGGGGGGAAGCAGGGATGGAGATGGGGGGAAGCAGGGATGGAGATGGGGAGAAGCAGGGATGGAGATGGGCGGAAGCAGGGATGGAGATGGGGGGAAGCAGGGATGGAGATGGGGGGGAACAGGGAAGAAGGAAAGGGTGTGTGTGTGGGTTGGAAAGGGGGAGTGACAAGTGTGCGAGATGGGAAGGGAGAAGGGAGGGATGGCGAGGGCAACGAGGAGTGGAAGGGAGGGCGACGGGGAAACCGAGGGCGACGGGGGGAGAGAGAGACGGGGATTGCGAGGGGACAAGTGGGAGCGAGGGTGACGAGCGGCAGGGAGGGCGACGAGACGAAGGGGGGCAACGGGCGGAAGGGAGGGAAAGAGAGCGTGAATGGGGAAATGAAGGCGACGGGAGGGGGAAATGAAGGCGACAGGAGGGGGAAATGAAGGCGACGGGAGGGGGAAATGAAGGCGACGGGAGGGGGAAATGAAGGCGACGGGAGGGGGAAATGAAGGCGACGGGAGGGGGGAGTGAAGGCGAAGGAAGGAGGAAGTGAAGGCGAAGGAAGGAGGAAGTGAAGGCGAAGGGAGGAGGAAGTGAAGGCAAAGGGAGGAGGAAGTGAAGGCGAAGGGAGGAGGAAGTGAAGGCGACGGGAAGGGGAAATGAAGGCGGGGGAAGAGGGGGGTGAGGGGGGGGAGGGAAGGTGACGGGGAAGAAGTGAAGGCGACGGGGGGGAAGTGAAGGCGACGGGCGGAGCGAAGGCGACGGGCTGGGGTCACGAACGCGACGAGCTGCGGAAGCGATGGCGACGACGCGGGCGACAGAGAGCGGAAGCGTGGGAAAGGAAAGCAAGTGCGAGGGGAGGGTCACGTTTGGGCGAACGGTTGCGATTCGATTTCGCCGCGAGTTTACGCTACGGTGTAGTTGCACAATAACCTGCATTTTGACACAAAAATCTTCACCCAGCGAACACTAGCTTTGCGCGTCATCATCGAATCCGCGCCACCCACATCGTAAGGCGCATCTTATCCCTTCTGAGTGAACGCCGACGCCCTGCCCTGTCTACAGGTATGGTCTATGCCTAATACTCTGCATGCTATCTCAAACTGTGCACAGTTTGGTATGCTCGCGCTTTTCTAGTTGTGGGAAGGACCCCACCCATTATGGGGAGCGAGAAACTTTGTCGCAAATTGGTTTTGCGAGTGAAAGTCTCTCGCAACCCAACCGAACCTCTCCGTGCCTGCCTCCCGAACCTAGTTTTTAGCGTTGACTTCCGTTGAGTAATTCAGGTCTTGGGCTTTAACGAGAAGACATTGTCAGTGCGTGCTTGGACATGGAAGGGCATGGCATGGCATGCTTAGTGGTAGCAAACTAGGGCATGGCATTATGGTTTTGCAAATTTTGGGTTTAGGGAGGCATAGGGCGTGGGGTGTTAGTAAAATACCTTTGGGGATGTGGATTGTTGTGGTAGGCATCGTAGTGGTTATGTGTGATGCCGAGCAAGCCTCGCGCGGGTTTGAAAGCTCGCTAGATGTTCGCCTCAAACGCTTAGCGTGGGAGGTTCGACACATCACCTGCAAGCAACAAGATGGAGTGGAAAGCGCGAATTGGTGAACAGTAGACGCTGGATAGGATGTTGGTGACATGAGTAAGAGCCATACTAAGCAATAAAAAAACGCACGCTGCGCTCCCGTGGCTTACCCAAACGACGGCGTGCGGATCCACGAGACGGGCCGCACTCTCGACCGATCCCGCCTTGGCGCACTGGTGTCTCAGGCGCAAGTGCAGATGCCGTGGGCCGTCCGATCGAGGCATCGACCAGCTGCGCAGCCGTGGCTGAGGTATCCGGCGTCTCGTCAACGTCTACACTATCTCCAAATCGCAGTGTTCGTTGCCATTCCTCCATGATGCAATCGACCCAACCCCAATCCATTGGGGCAAAAATGCGCTCCTTAGATCTGCGCCTTATCCTGGTCACCTGCCGGACTCTCGTGCGATAGGCGGTCACCAAACGGTCCATGCCGTGATTCCAAGAACCGCGAGACCGACTCGTGCCGAGAAACTTCCCTGAAACCTTATCCGTTTTGGTGCGTATTTGATGATCAAAGAATGGAAGGACTCGTCGAGTGAACTGGATGCGCCATGCACAAACGACTTCACCTTCTCAGGGCTTAAGCGCATGGCAAACCATTCACGAACCGCCTCGTGTGTCAACGACCCAAAATCATATATGGCATGCTTCCTGCCCCACCCCTCTCTGACGCAGCGAGGTGGGGTATCTCCTACCCCCGAGCAACAGCCGGAGTGGTCACCTGCCCAATGATTGGGTGGGCTCCCAAGCTCCCTCGCCACCTCGGCCGGGGTCATAGGATGCCCCTCTTTCTTCTTCGCACCACACCGCACCATGACGTGATAGAAATGAGTGGAGAAACGTTGAGCCACGGTTTGTTCCTCCTTGCCGGAATCGATCTCATCTACACCTCGTTTCCGCTTGCGATGACCAGTCCACCGAGGTAGTATCTCGGGCTCGCTGAAAGCATTAGGCGTCTGCACCTCAGAATCAGCTCCGCCTCCACCAAGCGCAGCTGTGAATGAGAGAAAAGGATAGATGAGAAGGGATCGAGAGTATAAAGTAGCACTTACATCAACCATGCTGTTAAAGTGTACAAGGGGGTGTATGCATACCTGACTCCGTGTCAGTGTTGGCCCAAGGAATTGATCCACCGATGAAATGAGAGTTTCCGTTTGCACCCGCGTGTGCAAGCATGATGAGGGTGCTCACCAAAGACGCCGGTCTCGCACCCTGTGTCGGATGCACATCGTAACTCCATAGCTCCTCCACCTCCTCCCACCGAACGTCAACATTCACCCCGTCCGGTGTCGTTACATCCACGGAAACCCATTCAGCTCACTCATCCTGCTCCCGCACACCAGCATCAGAAGCAACAGGCACCTCACCGTAGTTCACAGGCACCTCCACCGTACTACACTCCCCGCCCATCCGCACCACCTTTCTTAGCTCGGGATACTTCCACTTCGCCTCCTCCGCAGTCATCTTCTTGTAAACAATCGTGCCCATGGCGTCACAAACTGATTCCACCAAAGCCTCTTTCAGAGAAGCTTTCGACTCTTTCACCAACCCCCGTCCTTTCAGCCATTCCCGTAGCCCATCGACAGTCGCAAGCCATAGATCCTCAATACATTTCGCCTTGTCCACAGCCACTAGTGCACGGACCTGATCCTGAAGTTCTTTCAGAAACAGATTGTAAAGAGTCCGCTTCACATGCCACCAGTCCACCTGGTGGTTCAATCCTCTTTCGGACGCTGCCCCACAAAAAGTAGACCCTTGATCAGAGATGATCCCTTCCTCCGTAAATCCTTTCTGCGCCAGTTCATCTAACCTTTGTCGAAAGCCACCCTTTACAGCCGCACCGCAGATGTGTCGTCCACCCCTTTCCGTGTCGTGGCACAGTACATTATCTTCCTTGACGGTAAATCTAAGAACGATACTGTACACCACTCTCCTTCTCGAACATGGGACCATCGACCATCGACCACTACATATTCTGCAGGGACTTCACGCTTCAGCATCTCTTCTCGTACCGCAACCATAGACTTATCAGCCTCTCTCAGTATAGCATTCCAAAGCCCATTATCATCACCAAGGTACTTGTAGAATGTGCCCTTCCCCGGTGCTGGAAGGCCGAAGTTGCGACACAACTCCCACATTTGCTGATACCCCATTTCGGCTAAAGCAAACACACCGACAAATTTTGATTGTAGCATTGGAGAACGCGCGCCTACACCGGTTCGTGCTCTTTCTATACGCCGGCTCGGACATGGCCAAAACTCTACGCCATGCGAGAACGCGTCACATCGCCAGAACATGCCGACCGATGCCCATGAGAACTTCAATGATCTCAATGTCATCCCCTCACTACACGCGCGCTCATGTGAACACACCAAACGACACCCTTGGAAGAACCTAACCAGCTGCCGTGGCTCGACAAGACATACCCGTTGCCCGTCAATATCATCGACGCTCGGAGAAGAAGGCCAGTGCCTAGGGACACTCCCACGCCCAACTGCCCGTCGGTGGCTGTTGGCAGGCCTAGTGGACAGAAAAAAAAGGGGAGTTTGGACATGGATACTATGACATGTAAGTTATTGCACAATGACATCATGCATATTCAACCCTCACCCACTAGTCTCACCCTTGCACTGGCCGTTATGACGTCGTCATCGAACTCGGTGTGGGCGCAGCCACCGCAGCATCTCCATGCGTACTGGCAGCGCCCTCATTAGCATCCAAGCCGTCCCTCTCCACAACGCCGACGGCTGTCGCATCTGGGAGTTCGGTCCCGATGTCGTTGCCACTACCACTAAGGTTGGCCCCTGACACATAAATGGCATGATATAGGAGTGTTGTTTATTAGTCACTTCGAAGACAAGAAACCTCCATATGCATCTTCCAAATCATACCTGAATTACGTGTCGCTGCAAATGCCGCGCCACGCCTGGCGCCTCCCCATGATCGACCAGAAACATGTCGCAGTCTTCCGCGCGCATCATACTGTACTAGCGGGAAGAAGTATCTAAGCCCGGCAAGGACTCGATTGGGCCTTTGTTGCAGGTCTGCCACATGCTCGAGACTTCCTTTAGCGTGTTCTTTGAAGATGCGACCGTACTCATTTCGGTGTCTTTCCACAATTGCGCCGGTATGTGTGTCGTTTGAAGAAGGATCTGTGAGGCACAGGATGTACAGGCACGTGACACATTTCACATGTTTAACACATCCAACAGAAGGCTGCCCTTAATAGTGCATATCATGCACAATTCCAACGCCCGTCCAACCCTTGTGAAATACCTGCTGCTAGGCCCGCCGCAATGAGTCGGCTGGTCGCTTGAGGTGCGGACTCCGTCAAGAAATGAATCACATCATCCGTCGTCGCCATTGTGTCCCCAAGGTACAATGTCGAGAGCCACACGCGGAGCACGCACAGAAGTGGCCGCATGTGGACCAAAATCTTGATTGTCCCTCTCTGGGCATCCTTACATGCCTGTAGTGCAAGATGCCCTCCCGTCCCTACACCCACCTGTGCCATATCGAAGCATGTCAGCACATGCCCCAAGGAGAGCGGGAGAGGTGCGGGGTCAGGGGTAGGGGGCCAGGGGCAAGGTTTAGGGTAACTTAGGATAAAAAAGAAATTTGCAATTGCACGCCAAGCAACACACAATGGCTGTGTGCATGGTGGTGACAGCAGGCCCAAGGCGGCACCAACATTGGTTGCTACTGCCTTGGGACAGAGCAGGTGCGTGCATGATGGTGACAGCAGGACAAAGGCAGCAGCACCATTGGTTGCTGCTGCCTTGGGACAGCACAGGTGCGTATATGGTGGTGACAGCAGGCCCAAAGCATGCTTCCCAACATTGATTGCTGCTGCCTTGGGACAACACAGGTACGTGCATGGAGGTGACACCAAGCAGATAGGACCCCCAAGGCAGCAGCAACCGTTGTTGATGGTTGCTGCTGCCTTTGCCTCGTGACATGTGAGCATGATAGGACGGCAAAGGCAGCAGCAACCGTTGTTGATGGTAGCTGCTGCCTTGGCCTTGTGACACGTGAGCATGATAGGACCCCCAAGGCAGCAGCAACCTTTGTTGATGGTTGCTGCTGCCTTTGCCTCGTGACACGTGAGCGTGATAGGACCCCCAAGGCAGCAGCAACCGTTGTTGATGGTTGCTGCTGCCTTGGCCTCGTGACACGTGAGCGTGATAGGACCCCCAAGGCAGCAGCAACCGTTGTTGATGGTTGCTGCTGCCTTTGCCTCGTGACATGTGAGCATGATAGGACCCCCAATGCAGCAGCAACCGTTGTTGATGGTTGCTGCTGCCTTGGCCTCGTGACACGTGAGCGTGATAGGACCTCCCAGGCAGCAGCAACCGTTGTTGATGGTTGCTGCTGCCTTTGCCTCGTGACACGTGAGCGTGATAGGACCCCCAAGGCAGCAGCAGCCATTGTTGATGGTTGCTGCTGCCTTGGCCTCGTGACATGCGATTGTGATCGGACCCCCCAGGCAGCAGAAACCGTTGTTGATGGTTGCTGCTGCCTTTGCCTCGTGACATGCGAGCATGATAGGACCCCCAAGGCAGCAGCAAACCGTTGTTGATGGTTGCTGCTGCCTTTGCCTCGTGACACGTGAGCGTGATAGGACCCCCCAGGCAGCAGCAACCTTTGTTGATGGTTGCTGCTGCCTTTGCCTCGTGACATGGGAGCGTGATAGGACCCCCAAGGCAGCAGCAAACCGTTGTTGATGGTTGCTGCTGCCTTTGCCTCGTGACACGTGAGCATGATAGGACCCCCAGGCAGCAGCAACCGTTGTTGATGGTTGCTACTGCCTTTGCCTCGTGACACGTGAGCGAGATAGGACCCCCCAGGCAGCAGCAACCTTTGCTGACGGTTGCTGCTGCCTTTGCCTCGTGACACGTGAGCGTGATAGGACCCCCAAGGCAGCAGCAACCGTTGTTGATGGTTGCTGCTGCCTTGGCCTCGTGACACGTGAGCGTGATAGGACCTCCCAGGCAGCAGCAACCGTTGTTGATGGTTGCTGCTGCCTTTGCCTCGTGACACATGAGCGTGATAGGACCCCAAGGCAGCAGCAACCGTGGTTGATGGTTGCTGCTGCCTTTGCCTCGTGACACGTGAGCGTGATAGGACCTCCCAGGCAGCAGCAACCGTTGTTGATGGTTGCTGCTGCCTTTGCCTCGTGACACGTGAGCGTGATAGGACCCCCAAGGCAGCAGCAACCGTTGTTGATGGTTGCTGCTGCCTTGGCATCGTGACATGTGAGCATGATAGGACTCCCAAGGCAGCAGCGACCATTGTCACTGTACTATGGTCGATGTAGGCTAGAGCATACTAGTTTCGCTCCGTACACAGAGTTCTCACATAGTACCCAGCACCAAAGCAATACATTCTACCCAGTTCACATTTGCTAGGTACGGTAAGGATGGTAGGTACGAGGTACCCCAAATACTATGTAGGTGCATCAGAGGGACTACACATACACCCTGGACGGGAATACGAAGAACCTACTGCATATTTCGCTACGCCAACACCCTCGAAAACATTTTTGGGATGCAGGGAATTGGGCACTCACCTGGGCTCTCCTCTCTCGCGACCCGCAGGGGCGTGTGCCGCCCCTTGCTCCCCGTCAGTGCGCAGTATCCACTTTATCCGCCTGGGATGCGGGCGCCGCGTCGCCGGGAACGCGGGCTCCGCGTCGACTGGAAGGCGGGCTCTGATCCGCCTAAAATGCGGGATCCGCGTCGCGAGGAATGCGGGCTCAGCGTCGCGAGGAATATGGGCTCAGCGTCGCGAGGAATGCGGGCTCAGTGTTGCGTGGAATGCGGGCTCAGCGTCGCGAGGAATGCGGGCTCAACGTCGCATGGAATGCGGGCTCAGCGTCGCGAGGAATGCGGGCTCCGCGTCGCACAGAACGCGAGCAGCTAAATGCGACGAGCGGGTGCTGCTCGGCGTTTGGTGCGAGAGCCCTATCATGTCCGCTTTCTTCCCCCTAGCTAGTAACAATGACTCCAATACACTTCCGGTTTCTTGTTGTTCCTAGCTTCCCGTGGTCTCCAGTCTGTCGTCACTTTTTTTTTCTCGTAAGTGCGATCGCGCTTGCACATTCCTACACTTTGCTGTTGCCAGCTCCTGCGATGGTCGGTAAGCTAGTAATCTGGGCACTGGATCGTCCCGAACACATGTCTGTTGTGGCGTTGAGTAGGTGGCGTTGATACCCAGCACGTGCGCTGCTCTGTTTTTCTATTTCCCGTTAGCATCGAGCTGATTCAGTGGTGAGGAGACTTCGAGTGAGCCACACTTTCCATGCTCGATGCAAGAGAGGGGTGTGTGCGACACATTTGTCGCTTTGGGTTGGTGGGATTCGCAGGTTTGGTGGGTGCGAAATGTTCACTTGTTTGCGGAGGATAGTTGTTCTCGCCAAAGGCAGCCAACCGAAATTGGTTTCGCGGATCTCACATACACCCTATTTCAAATCCACATAACTTGATATTTTACCATGCTGACCCCGGGCTTTAAGGAGTTGGTAGCGGAAGTCTTGTGGTGGGAACTCTGATCATAGTGAATGAAAATGACAAAGTTGAGTAAAACACAGATTACACACACAACAAATAGATCTAGCTAGCCATGTATTCTGAGGGGTACATTCCCTTATTCTAACTGTTTTACGGGCAATTCTACAGTGACTTTGGCTATTGCATTGCTTCTTGTTGCCGAGTCGCTGCGTATGACCGTACAGACGGTTACGCCTATTGCCATCCCTTAATGGTAAGTCAATAGTCGGTCTAAATAATAAACAGTCGCGACAGTTGACTCTTGCGACTGTTGACCTTCCTGCTCTTGATACGGGCTGATCCGATACTGCTGCTAGCGCTGCTTCAATAGTGACGGGTGCGATACAGCTGCACCTACGGGAATGTCAAAACTTAGTTCCCTTCATACTCCAACAAATGACAATGTACATTTTTAAATAAAGGCTATTTTCTTCCAACTTCATGCACGCACCTTCCTCATTGGGCTGCGCAACGGCCGAATGCAGGACAAACCTGTGTCGTTTATAGTTTTGGTTGCATGAGATGCAGTACAAACTCAGTAAGGGAAGGAAACTCAGTAAAGACATGAAATGAAATGATGTTGGCATCAATTTGCTTGAACAAATCAAGGTATATCACGGATTGAATGTACCTGGCGCTGTGTAATAACAAGATTTGCCTGCAAGGGGTACTGACTTTGGTGTGTAGCGCGTTCAGGTCGTCGCCCGGGGGAGCTCGCTGCCCGCGGGCAAAAAAAAAACCCCAGTCGGGCATGCATCCGGTCAGGGAGGCATCAACCCTAAATCCATGCCTCCCTGTGATTTAGGGTTGATGCCTCCCTCGGATGGCATGCCATCCGAGAGGGTTTTAGTTTTTTTTCCTGCCCGGGGCAGCAGGTCGTCAGGTCGTCACAGGTCGTCGGGCCTGACGATCCGTTTCCGCTGAGATATATCGCGGGAACCAGGGTTCACCACGGCGCAACGGTGGTTCAGAAAAGCAGCGGTCGTCTGCTGGGCTCGGGTGTTGGTTGGGGGCACCAACCGAGCGCCCTCCAATCTCCAGGGCCCCAGGCTCGGTGCTCTGAACCGGGCCCAGGTCGGCGCACAGTTGTGTGGAAGTCATGCTGCCTCTTCCCTCAAACCCTATTTTGCGAGATGCACTGCGTCTCGCAACGCGGTACAGAACGTTGCTGAAATCCATGCGAACACTGTTGAACATATCCGTGAAAGGGGCGAACCGTATGAAGAGAGGACACGAAGGGGATGTAACTCGATAAGTGAACTTTTGGCAGCCATTCGGTTTTGTTATCACCGTGTACGCGGCTTCGAACATTGATACTCCCATCCCATCTCTCAGCCTTACCAATCAGCCAGGCTTGTCAGATGCTTTTCTCCGTTGGAGGGGCACCTTGATTCCTCCGAACCAAGTCTGAATTTTGCGTTTTCAATAGCGTAGTGACAAGTAAAGCGGATACAGCATCTCCGCATTTGCCGTCCGCCATCCCTCGATCTCCTCACGCAACCTCGCAGTTGATATCGCGAGCTCTGTCAGGCTGATCGAACGCATCTGCTGTCAGGTTCCGTACTGCTTCTGCTTGCCCAAAAGCGCGCGAAAAGGCAAAATTAGTATTTTCTGATTGACTGTCACTCTCGAGGTGCACTAATACGAGAGGTTGTCCGGCAATGGCGCTTTTCTCTGGCTGGGTGTTCGTCGTGAGGCCGGACCCTGACGACGCGGCGCCGGCTTTGTTACCACGTTACTTGGTGCTCGCGAAATGTAGCCTGCTCATGTACCGTCGCGACCCGACGCTGGTGAAGAACGAGGTCCGTGCTGCACGATTTAGCAAAGGTTTTTGCTATTATCCTTACTCATGAATTAAGACGACCGCCAGGATAAGACAACGTAGCTGTTGCCGACATTGCGCGAGGATGATAATATAGCTGGACATTGACATTGCGCGTGAATTATTTTTTTTAACTGACATGAGGTAACCAGATGCTCCGGGAAGTGCGATTTCGTTGTAGCTTTGCTACTAAGAAGCCGTGCTTTTCTCCCATATTCTCTTCTAGTGCTCGCTGATAGTCCCAAGGTCACCTTTTTGCTGAACCAGTTTTTTGACGTGTCTCAAGCTACGAAGATTGTTTTTTCGTTTGCTCGTGGCTCGAGCAAGCAATACCGTTTCTTTAACACGTCTCAACCCATGCCACGGGCTGTGCTCACGTAGGTATCCCAGGGGACTCTTCTATCTTGAAGACCACCAATGCCAATCGAATGTAGCTCGCGTGTCATTCGATGTCGCGTTGAACTCACGACTCGCGTTTGGAAGAATGTTTATCAAATTTTCGAGTTGTTTTCTCTCCTCGCGTTTAGGATGACTTTCGTTGGCCGCGCGTCCTCGTTAACCACCCTCCCGCATTTATTACTCATACGTCAGATAATTTTCTCACCTATATTCAGAGAAAATGGTCCGCACGCGATACCAGCTCGTCGAGACCAAGTCTATGAACACACACCGCAGCTAATTCGATGCCTTTCGAGGCGCCGGGGCAACGAGTGGTCCTGACATACAGCGACAAATCTGATCGTATTTCTGACCTTCATTATTCATTATTTCCCTGCGTCCCCCTCCCGTTTCCTCCGCATTGTAATTTCTCCCTTCCCAACATCAATCCCTAAATCTATCCCTTCATCGAGTTTACATTCATCCGTACATGATATAGCGCTGCCTCCCCCCGCATTCATAGCCTCCTTGCATCCATCCCTCCGCATTCGCACGCCTCTCCGCTTTGATCCTCCTGCATTCGCATGTCTCCTTGCATACATCCCTCCGAATTCGCACGCCTCCCCGCGGCGGTTCTTCAGCCGCTGACCCCGCAACTCCCAGTAAACGGCCTTGGAGAATTCTCACATCACGTCCCTCCACTCCACCCGTCCCTGCGCATTCACACGCTCCTCTGTATTGATCCCTGCGTTGCGTCCCAGCGCGAGCCCGTGTCCAGAGCAAGGTTAAAAAAAACGACCGTATTTTTGAAAATTTACCGTAAAAAACGGTTCCAGAAGGTGATTTTCGTCTAAAGAAAAAATCGGCCATATTATGGGACCAAATTGATAAGAAAAACCACCAGGATGAAGAGGACGATCCCCTCTTTGCTTGTGTGCATGTGTAGGCATGATCGAAAATGTATTCGACCTTGTTTTTGCCTTTTTTTTCTTGGTGATAAGAGTTCTCTAACAAAAAAACGGCTGTATTTTTGAAAAATTACCGTAAAAAACGAACCGTAATTTACGATTACCGTATTTTTGAACCTTGGTCCAGAGGCCTTCTCACATATTTTCAGCGAGCAGCAGATTTAAAAGAGGACGAGCCCGTCTCCACAGGCGTGGTGACCCCACAACTCCCAGTAGACGGTTTTTGAGAATTTTCAAGTCCTACTCCACCCGTTTCTGCGCATTCACACGCTCCCCTACATCATTCCATCCTTTGAACAGGAACCCGTGTCCAGCGGCGTGCTGACTCCGCAACTCGCAGTAGAGGACTGCGGACGCGAGGTGTACGCCGATGGACGGGTGAGATGCTATGTTGAATTATTAAGGTGTACGCTGATGGACGGGTGAGATGCTATGTTAAATTATTGAGGTGTACGCTGATGGACGGATGAGACGAGATGTTGATGCTTAAGGTTTGACTCCGATGGACGGTTGAGATTTGAACGTTATAGTTCATGAACTGGTGCACATGGGCAGGGTTAGGTTGCTGTGCTGTCCATGTTCCAGACATTCCTTCATGCCGTCTGTATATCCATCCCTGCCAGTGTATTTTAACACAACTCTAATAAACACCTTCTCAACTCCCTCGATCTCTCCCTGGCTGCCTGATCTGTGCCACTCTGGCTTGTCTATCCCCGCTATAGGCTCTCCACGCGTTCCGAGTGTACAACAAGGCCATGCCAGACCAAGGTGGAAAGGTGAGAAGGCTTGGATAAGGTGGGGAGACTCATAAAGATGAGAAAGCCCGAAAAGGTGTGAAGTCGTTGGAACGAGTTAGTCTGTGAAAGGAAAACAGAGAAGGATTCTGGAAGGAGGAGAGGACATTCAGCCTGGGAAGGTGGGAGCATGGGAGATTGGAAAGAAGGGAGGATGGGAAAGGTGTTGTGTGGAGACGACTGAAGGCATGTGATGTGATGGAGTGTGTGATGACTTATGTAATGGGGTGTCTGGTGCATACGATCCGGTATGTGATGTTCTGCAGTGTGTGATGTGATGTCATGGGTTGTGTGGAAGTGTTCAGGAAGCAAGCTGTTACTCGTGTATGTGAATGCATGCATATTCTCCTCGCAATGAAGCTGTTTACTTCCCTGCTCTTGCACACGTACATGCGCTTGTCATTTGACTTCACCCTCGCACCGCACCCACCAGGTGGCAACCAACAGACCAGCGCAGGAGCGGTTACCAGCGGCTTTCTCTGCGAAATATGCAAATTTCTCATGACTGTACCACATGTGACTGTACCACTTGTGACAATACAGCGTTTGACTACACACACCCTGCACTGTACCCACATGCACACCAGGTGGCAACCACAAGTGCAGGAGCAGCTCAGAAGTGGATCTCAGCCATTGAAGAGTCCATCAAGGAATCTGTAAGTACATACTCCACTCCACTCCATTCCATCCCACGCCGCTCCTCTCCACTCCACTCCACTCTCTCGTGCAAGTTGAGTCAACGCAAAGCACACCAGGAGCAGCTCAGAAGTGGATCTCAGCCATTGACGAGTCCATCAAGGAATCTGTAAGCGTGCCACCCTCTCTCCCCACATGCTCCCCACTCCCGGCACGCCATCCCTTCCCATTCCCTCATCATCTCTCCCCACGTATTTCCTCCCTCGCCCCTCCACCTCGTTTGCCCGCACATACACCACTATAATCCCTCGACTTCACATTTTGAGGCGCCTCAAAACTGAGACGTATTTTGAGGCGCCTCAAAATCCACTTCGTTTGCCCGTACGTACACCGCTATAACCCCTCGACTTCACACTGCCTCGCCAGCCCACAACGCATGCATCCTCCCCAACTGCTCTATCACCACCCCTTGCGCCTCATCTCCTCCTCTTGCTTCTCTCCCCTTCCTCGCTTCTCTCCCCTTTTTTTGCCGCTCTTCCCTTCTCCTTGCCGCTTCCCCCAACCCTTTTCCATTCTCTCCCCTCCCCTCCCCTTGCGCCCCTCTTTTCATCTCTACTCGTGTTTCAGGAGACCGGGGGCAAGCCAGAGAAAGCATCTGTGGGGTACGTGTGCACATAGAAGCACCCTCATGTTCAGTGCAATGAACGACAAACCGGGGTTGACTTTTGAGTCGACTCAAAGGTCAACACAGAGAAAGGATCTGTGGGGTACGTGTGCACAAAGAAACACCTTCATGTTCAATGCACTGCACGTGAGGGCATCTGTGGGGTACGTACCCCCATGTGCAGTGAGCATCTGAAGACTTTCTTTGATAGGTTGTGACTACTGAGGGAGAGGGAGAGGGAGAGGGAGCTCTTTACAAACATAACTCGCTTCCTGGCTCCTCCAAACCCTCCTCCTGACTACTCGTGCCCGTCCCCTTCCACATTCTTTACTTATGTCCCACCCATTCCCCCCCTTCTCTCGCTCTTTCGCTCTCCATGTTCCCCCGCATCCCCCTCTCGATCCCTCATGCCTTCTCATCGTTTCTGCACACTCTCCTCACTCGCTTCACTCCCTCTCGCCTTCGTCTTTGGCAGAGAGCGCACTCTCACTCTTTGCTTTTGAGAGCTCTCAGAGTGACTCCCCTTTGATCCTCCCACCTTCTCGCTGTCTGTGGCAGAGAGCGCACTCTCACTCGCTTGGTCTCCATCGGTCAAGGTCAGCTCTCCTCTTCTCTCTCACCTGCCCTTGCTTCTTCTCTTCTTCGTTCCTCCGCTCCTCTCCATCCCCCCTCTCTTCACAATTCCTTGTCATACGCCACGTGACTCGTCATCTGCATGATTCCTCACCCACGTGATTCCTTACCCACGTGATTCCTCACCCACGTGATTCCTTACCCACGTGATTCCTTACCCACGTGATTCCTTACCCACGTGATTCCTTACCCACGTGATTCCTCACCCACGTGATTCCTCACCCACGTGATTCCTCACCCACGTGATTCCTCACCCATGTGATTCCTCACCCACGTGATTCCTCACCCATGTGATTCCTCACCCACGTGATTCCTCGCCCACATGATCCCTCCTCTGCACTACATGACTCCTTCTCCTCGTGGCTCATCCTGAAACCTCATGGTGTACATTTGTCATTTGGTTCCTCTTTCTCATGTCCCTTACCTGACACTGCCTAGTTGCACTTCCATCTCTTCTTGTCCTCTCCCCCCTCGCACCTGACCTTCCCTCCTCCCCCACAAATACCTCCTTCACTCGGAGGCCCTGGGTGACATCTTCACTCGGGAGATGCAGGCAGATGTGCACGTGGGTTGTTGCCCAACCTGTGCCCACTCGGGCCTTAGCTCCTTAGCCTAAACCGTGGTCTTACGTCCTCACTGCCCCTTGCTCCCCCCCTTCCCCCCATCAGGCCTGGGTGACATCTTCACGCGTGAGATGCAAGCAGACGTGGACGTGGGAGGGGATGCGATTGAAACCACCAAGTGGAGGATCTTCAAGGTTGCAGATGGTAAGTCGAAGCAAAGGCATTTAACCACATTGCCTGTCCCTCATTGCACCTAAGTTAGACGGATCCAGATGTGGACGTGGGAGGGGACGCGATTGCAACCACCAAGTGGCGGATCTTCAAAGTGACCGATGGTATAGCTAAGCCCTGCTCCCTTCTCCGTCTGTGTGTTTAAGTCGCCTCACATATTTTGTGGGCGTGGGAGGGAGGCTGTGGTGGAAAGGAAGCAAACCATGATTTTTTTTTCCTGACTTCGACCTGTGTGTTGACTTTTGAGTCGACTCAAAAGTCAACTCGCCGCGGTGGAAAGGAAGCAAACCATGATTTCTTTTCCTGACTTCGACCTGAACAAGCACAGCATGAACCCACCCTCTTTCAGTTGACAACAGTTGTGACGACAGTTGTTTCCGCTATCTTTTCGTCGTTCCCCGCCCTCTTTTCAGTTGACTCAGAACTCAACTTTGAAGCTTTGGATCCTGATGACGTTTGTTACTGCTGCTACCCCCCTCTTGTTTTCCACCCTCGCTCGCCCACCCTTTTCCGCCCTCCCATCCCCCTTCCCCACCACCCTCTGCCCACCCCTCCCTGTTTCAGGCCTTCGGTTCTTTCACGAAGCATCTGAGGTGAGAGAGGGCTGGATGGTATGGGATGGGATGCGGTGGGATGGGATGGAATGGGATGGGATGGGGTAGGCTGGATGGTATGGGATGGTATGCGGTGGGATGGGGTGGGGTGGGATGGAATGGATATGGGATGGGATGGAATGGGATGGGATGGGATGGGATGGGATGGGATGGGATGGGATGGGATGGGATGGGATGGGATGGGATGGGATGGGATGGGATGGGATGGGATGGGATGGGATGGGATGGGATGTGATGGGATGGGATGGAAGTCGAGTGAGGGGGAGGGGAATAAGGCAGTGGTTGGTGGTTGGGTTGGGGGGGTGGGGGAAGAGTGTGGTGAGGGAGAGGAGGAAGGAACAGTGCAATTAGGTGATTAAAATGCTGACATGGCTTGGCAGGACTTTAACCCACTTATCCAGGGATCGTCTTTGTGCATGATTGACCTTGGTCAACGGAACAGGCACTCATGCAGGAGCAGTAGCCCTTGCAGAAACACCCGCAGCGGTTACGCCTGCAATCAAACCCACAATCAGAACCGCTCTCGGGACCGCACTCAGAACCACGCTCGAAACCGCAATCAGAACTGCACCCAGAACTTCACTGAGAACCGCAATCAGAACCGCCCTGGGCTCATGTCGCTGCTTCTCTGCTGCTGTCGCCCTGCAACACAATCCGCTGCCACGGTCCCCCTTCCTCCTCATGTGTGTGTGCTTGCGTGCTTCTGTGTGCGCTTCCGTTGATGTGATTTCTGAGTCGACTCAGAAGCCACCTTGAGGGCTTTTCTGCCGTTTTTCTTTGAGTGGCTCAGAGAATGTTTGCCTGCTTTTGTGGGTGGTGTGTTGTTTCCTCTGGGTTCGACTTGTTGCAGTCTGTTTTTATTCTTCTCCTTTGTACTCAAAACCCACCTGTTGGTGTGTGCATGTGCTTGTGCGCATGTGATGTGTGACACTGATGACTGAGCGAGCAGGAGGGGTTTGAGTCGCTGATAAAGGCAGAGGGGGTGGTGGAGGCATCAGCGGACAGCATCTTTGAAGTGCTCATGAGCACCAGTGCTCCACTCTCCATGCAGTGAGTGACCATGCCCACATGCTCACATGCTCACATGCTCACATGCCCACATGCCCACATGCTCACATGCTCACATGCCCACATGCCCACATGCTCACATGCTCACATGCTTCCATGGCCATATGCCCAGGTGCACACACAAACCATGCAGCAGAAGAATTTCACACAAATGTACACACGTGTACACACATGTACACACATGCACACGCATGTACACACATGCACACACAAACCATGCAGCAGAAGAATTTCACACAAATGTACACACGTGAACACACATGTACACACATGTACACACGTGTAAACACATGCACACGCATGTACACTCATGCACACACATGTACACACATGTACACACATGCACACACACACATGTACACACATGTACACAAATGCACACGCATGTACACACATGCACACACATGTACACACATGTACACACATGCACACACACACATGTACACACATGTACACACACACATGTACACACATGTACACACATGCACACACATGCACACACATGTACACACATGTACACACATGTACACACATGCACACACGTGTAAACACATGTACACACATGTACACACATGTACACACATGCACACGCATGTACACACATGCACACACAAACCATGCAGCAGAAGAATTTCACACAAATGTACACACGTGAACACACATGTACACACATGTACACACGTGTACACACATGCACACGCATGTACACACATGTACACACATGTACACACATGCACACACACACATGTACACACATGTACACACATGCACACACATGTACACACATGCACACACATGTACACACATGTACACACATACACACGCATGTACACACATGCGCACACATGTACACACATGCACACACATGTACACACATGCACACACATGTACACACATGTACACTCATGCACACACATGTACACACATGCACACACAAGCACACACATGCACACACATATACACACATGCGCACACATGTACACACATGCACACACATGTACACACATGCACACACATGTACACACATGCACACACATGTACACACATGCACACACATGTACACATATGCACACACATGTACACACATGCACACACACGCACACACATTTGCTTGCTTGCATACACAGTCTACATGCACAGATCGGGGCATGGTAAACGTGGAGTGCGCATGGTGTAACCTCTGGATGAAATTGGATGGCATTGGATGGCATTACATGGCAATGGATGGGTGGCATTGCATGTGGCTTATTCCCTCTCCTTCTCCATGAGGATGAAGGGGTCATACACTAATCTATAGCACTTAACTCTCAATGCGCAGGTGGGACACGTTTACAGTGGAGAATGAGGTGGTGGAGGCTGTGGATGGCCATGCATAGCAGTGGGTTACCATGTGCCATGTACCAATCTAGTGGCATCCCCCATCCCCATGTGCCTGGCAGGTGGGACACGTTCACAGTGGAGAATGAGGTGGTGAAGGCTGTGGATGGGCGCACGGACATCACTGGATAGTCATGCGCTGTGTACCAATAGCACCTTCATCTCCTCCCCTCGCTCGCCGTTCCCCCCCCTACCCCATGGGCAGGTGGGACACGTTTACAGTGGAGAATGAGGTGGTGGAGGAGGCGGTGGATGGCAGTGGATAGCTGTGTGTGTGGCATGCCATATTCACCTCCTAAGCTGTGTGTGTGGCATGCCATATTCACCTCCTATCTCCGTCCAGGTGGGACACCTTCACAGTGGAGAACGAGGTGGTGAAGGCTGTGGATGGCAGTGGATAACCATGTGCCATCTGTTGATCCAGTAGCATTCTCATGTCCTCTTCCTGAACCGCATTGGCAGGTGGGACACGTTCACAGTGGAGAACGAGGTGGTGGAGGCGGTGGATGGCCACACAGATATCATATATGCTATAGTCACCAACAGGCAGTACACTCACGGGTGAGTCTTTCACTTGTGGACTCAGACAGAATGTTTAAATTCATTATATTATTTATAGTCATTAACAGGCAGTACACTCATGGGTAAGTGAAGATTTTGCTTGTGTGCTGATTCTTATCAGTATCGCATACAAGCACAATGACCAAATTCATCAAGTGTGATATTGCCATGACGAGGCAATACACTCACGACGAGTGAGTGAGTGTTTTCCTTACACCTAGTCCGCGGTATTTTAACCGCCGCTATCTTAACCACGCGAGGGTACTTCTCCTTGGTCAAACTTTTTTATACGAGTAGTTTTGAACTTTTTTTAGGGTAGAATCTAGCTAGCATACCCTTTGTGAGACGACGGCAGTCAAAACCTGGTCAATGCCGATCCGCCCTCTATTTCGGAGCACTAAGTGTGAGTTTCTTTAGAAGGAAATGCTTCTGGCTGCAAAACAATAGTCTTGAAGTCTCTTGGTGCCCATTTCATTACCCGAAAACGAACAAAGGGTGTTTGAAGCGAAACAGTTCACGTGGTTAAAATACCGCGGACTAGGTGTAGTGCCATGACTCTCAAGTGGTCATACAAACACCCACCGGCCATTGCCCATGCTTTCTCCCACCTTCCGTCCCTTTTCACGCGTCTCAAAAATGCTCTCAAGTAATCACACAAACACCCACCTCCTGCCGGTGCCCGTGCTTTCCCAACCTTACGTGCTTGCCTCCTCCCCCTCTTGCTTCCTCCCCCCTTGACCATCTGCCTCCCTTCCCTTCCCCTTGCCCTTCTCCCTCCTTTCCCGTTCCCCTTGCCCTTCTCCCTCCTGCCATCCCCCTTTCCCATCGTCCTCCTCGGACTCTTCTTGCATTCCCACCTTCCACCTCTTGCTTCCGTGCCTCCTGTGTCCCCTTTTGAGTTGACTCAAAACTCAACCCTCCTCGGACTCTTCTTGCATTCCCACCTTCCACCTCTTGCTTCCGTGCCTCCTGTGTCCCCTTTTGAGTTGACTCAAAAGTCAACCCTCCTCGGACTCTTCTTGCATTCCCACCTTCCACCTCTTGCTTCCGTGCCTCCTGTGTCCCCTTTTGAGTTGACTCAAAAGTCAACCCTCCTCGGACTCTTCTTGCATTCCCACCTTCCACCTCGTGCTTCCGTGCCTCCTGTGTCCCCTTTCCCCTTTCCGCTCCCATCTCCAACTGGGCTGATTTTTTAGGCGCCTCAAAAGATTTTTGAGGCGATTTTTGAGGCGCCTCAAAAACCTTCCACCTCGTGCTTCCGTGCCTCCTGTGTCCCCTTTCCCCTTTCCGCTCCCATCTCCAACTGGGCTGGCAGGAGGCCCTTGAAAAAGGAGATGGTTGTGTCGCCCACATGGAGGCGCAACAACCTACCTCCGCACCTCATGCCCCTGCCTCCTTTCCCCTCACCCCGTGCCCCGTTGCCCCCCTCTCCACCTGCGCAGGAGGCCGTTGGAGAAGGAGTTGCCTGCCGCACGGGCTTGTTAGAATTAGGCTGTCAACACTTAGTGTACTGTATTTTTATATCGCGTAGGTTATTTGCGGGTTGGGTGTAGTTTGTAATCCCAACCCTATCTGGTTGGGATTCCTCCGTAATCCTGCAAATCTGCCAACTCACCAATTGGATATTTGCTAGGATTCCCATCCCATCCTTTCCCTAGCTTTGCTCAACCCAACCTCGTTTGTACTTAAGGACTAGTGCCTTCTCTACTAATCAATCAGTTCAGCTCCGTTTCTATCAAGGCTTGCTTGCATCCACCTTCCAACCCCTGCCCGCTTGCCTCCTGCTCCTCGCCCTCCCGCTGCCCCTCTCCCGTCTCCACCCGAGCAGGAAGCCATTGGAAAAGGAGGTGCTGGCCTCGTGCACATGACACCACTCCCATCTGCCTCCTCCCTCTCTCCTTGCACTTCTTGATTCCTGCCATCGCCCTCGCTCCTCTCCCACCAACCCCACCCATGCAGGAGGCCGTTGGAAAAGGATGTGCTTGCATCGCGCACCTGGATGGAGGCGCAACCACCTGCCTCCTCACCTCCTGCAGACCTGCCCACTTGTCCCCTCACCCCTCGCCCTTCAACCACCCCCGAGCAGGAGGCCGTTGGAGAAGGAAGTGCTGGCATCGCGCACATGGAGGCGCAACCGCGCCCATCTGCCTTCTCTCGCTCCCCTTGCTCATCCTGCGTCTTGCCATCCCCCTTGCCACTCTCCCACCCGAGCAGGAGGCCGTTGGAGAAGGAAGGAGGTGCTGGCATCACGCACTTGGAGGCGCACCACACCTGCCTCCTCACCCTCTGACCCCGTGCCCCCTCACCCCTTGCCTCTCGCCCCTTTCCCCGCTGCCTCTCTCCCATCTCCACCTGCACAGGAGGCCGTTGGAAAAGGAGGTGCTGGCTTCGCGCACGTGGAGGCGCAACCACGACGGGTCTTATGGTGAGTGGCGCACTTTGCTTTATATGGAACACCACCTTCCTTCACCACACCTCATCACACTACGACACCACTCTCCACACCTTCAGCACACCCATAGCACGCTTCTCCACACCTCATCACGCTTACCAGCAAGCCTACTTTGAATCCTCCTTCCTCCCTCTGCTCCATTGACCGTTTCCCCATCCCATCCCCTTGCCTGTTCTTATTTCCTACCACTCTCCCCCGTTCCTCTCTCCAGACATCACCACCCTCTCCGCCAATCACAATACCGAATCCTAACCTTAGCAGCTCTCTCCCTTTGCTCTCTCCCAACCCGTCCACTCTTCCCTCTCTCCCACCTGTTACCTCCCCAGGCCACCACATTCAGCACCACTCACGACACCAAGCCACCACTTTTTTAGGCCCCTCAAACTCCAATCCTGCTATTTCCCTTCCAACCTCCCCCCAGGCATCATCACATTAAACACCACCCACGACACCAAGCCCTTGTCACATCAAGCCTTTTCTCTTCTCTCTCCCCCTTCTCACCCCAAACCCTTTCATCCCCCCCCCCTCAACCTCCCCCCAGGCATCACCACATTCAACACCAACCACGACTCCAAGCCCACCAATGGTCGCCGCCCGCGCCTCGAATTTGCGTGTAAGCGCTGCCGTTGCAAGTAAGTGTGGCTTTCCTAATGTCTCAGCCTTTAGAAAATTCTGAAACATTCGCCTGAATATCTCTCACCCCTCCCTTTCCCTCCTTTACCCACCTCCTCCGCCCCCCCCCCTCCCCCCCCCCCCCCCCCCCCGCTCCTCTCGCCCCTCGCCCCCTTTCCCCCAACCAGTGGGGTCATGGGACATCCTCTTATTCACCCCCAACCACCCCGTACATCCTCCCTTTTCCCCCGCCCCCCCCTCCCCCCACTCGTCCTACCAGTGGGGTCATGGGACATCCTCCTCCACACCCCCGCCCGCCCCAAGTCGGTCCACGCGAAGTGCTTCGTGCGCCCCAAGTCCCTCTCTCTCCCGCCCCCTCCTTCTCCCCCCTCCCTCGCCCCCCGTCCAACCAGTGGGATCGTGGGACATCCTGCCCCTCACCCCCGCGCGCCCCAAATGAAGTGCCTCGTGCGCCACGTCATCGAGCTCGGCATCACCCCCTCCCTCTCCACTCCCATCACTCCCGCACTACCACACCATGTCTCATCCCTCTCTTTCCCTCCTTTTCTCCCCCCTCCTCCCCACTCCCCCCACTCCCACCTCCCCCCCCCTCTTGGCTCCCCCTTCCCCCCTCCAACCAGTGGAATCATGGGACATCCTCCCCCTCACCCCTGCCCGCCCCAAATCCGGCCACGTGAAATGCCTCGTGCGCCACGTCATCCAGATCGGCACTGCGCCCTCCCTCTCCTCCTCCGCCTCCCTCTTTGCAAGGATTTTGTTTTACGTTATTGAGAAATTACTAAAACATTTTCCCCCGTCCCCCTCCCGCTCCCACCCCCCTCCCCTCCCTCTCAACCAGTGGGATCGTGGGACATCCTGCCACTGACCCCTGCCCGCCCGAAGTCCGGCCACGTGAAGTGCCTCGTGCGCCACGTCATCGAGCTCGGCACTGCGCCCTCCCTCTCCTCCTCCCCCTCCTCCCGCTACACCGACAGCCCCACTCCACCCACCCCTAGCAAGCGCTCCGTTTCCCCATCCCCCTCCGCCTTTGCCTCTCAGAGCGTGTCCTCCCCCGTTCACTCTGCTCTCCCCAGACCTGCGCAAGCGGTTGCGGGGGTGGCGAAAGCCGCTGCCGGAAAGCCGATTTCGTTTATCAAGGGGTTGATGAGGGAGAAGAAGGAGAAGGAGCTGCCGAAATCGGCATCTGTAGCAGTGGGGGGAGGGGTGGGAGGAGCAGGGGGGGTGGGAGGTGGGGGATTAGTGGAGGTGGAGGAGGAGGCGGACGGGCATGTGGCGTTTGAGGAGTTTGCGGACTCATTCCCGTACGCCTCGCTGTGCCGCATTGCAGGTATGGGGAGGAGGCAGAGTGGTGTAGAGTGGTGAAGGGTGGTGCAGCGTGCTGCTTCCCGTGTTTGAGGTGGGAAGGCGGAAGGGCCGGTGGTGCAGTGCATGTAGCGTTTGAGGAGTTTGCGAATTCGTTCCCGTACGCATCGCTGTGCCCGCGTTGCAGGTATGCAGAAGCGGTTGAGAGTGATGCAGAGTGCTGCTCGCACAGGTTGGGAGGTGGAGGAGGGGGGGATGAATGCACAGGCGTTTCAGTAGTTTGCGAATTCGTTCCCGCACGCATTGCAGGTATGGGGTGGAAGGGGGGGGGGAGGGGGAGAGTGGTTTAGAGCAGCCTAAAGTGGTGCAGGTAACTGTGATGTGCTGAAAATGCCGCACTGCCAAGTGCAGAAGAAACGTGATGTGCCCACTGAACCGTGCTTAACCGCACTTAACCATGAGATTGCTGTCCTTCCCCACTCAATCTCTTTGTCTCCTCTCTCTCGTACCTGCCTCATCCTTCCTCCTCTCAACCATCCCCCACACGCCTCCCACCTCCTCACAAAAAAGGAGCACCGCACTCAACCTCCCCACCTCCTTACCCTCCCCCTACCCTATCCATCTCCCTCCCAGGCCTGAGGAGTTCCTTGCAACGCAGCAAAGGCTATGGTGGAGCTTCTGGAGAGGAACACAGAGGAGGTGGTTGCTCTCCTTCTACTAACTCTTTTTTCTTCTCTCTATTTTCTCATTCTCTTTATTTCCCCTCTCCCAGGACTGAGGGAGTACTTTGCAGCACAGCCGGCCATGGAGGAGCATGTGGAGAGGAACACCGAGGAGGTGGTCGCTAGCCTGATGGAGAGGACTGAGAGCCTTGAGGACCAGTTCTTTGATGCCGAAGGGGAAGAGGCTGAACCCGCTAAGGTGCGTGTTGTCTCCTTATAACGAGTTCTGCTGTAATGAGTACGAGATGAGAGGAGAAAAGGGGGTGTCAGAGGAGCAGGTTAGAGGTGGTCGCTAGCCTGATGGAGAGGACTGAGAGCCTTGAAGACCAGTTCGTTGATGCCGAAGGGGGGGAGGCGGAACCCGCTAAGGTGTGTGTTGTTTGCTTATGACGAGTTTCTTATTGCGAGTACAAGTGGAGAGGACGAGAGGGCGTAGCAGAGGATCGAGTGAGAGGTGGTTGCCAACTTGCTAGTCTGGTGGAGAGGACTGAGTCTCTTGAGACCACTTCTTTGATGCCGAAGGGGAGGAGGCTGAACCTGCTAAGATGCGTGTTGTCGCTTAGGGGGTGTCCAGCGCGTTCATTTTGGGAATTTTAGTGCCCACACACGCGTCGGGGTACAAAAGTGATCCCTGTACCTGAAAACGAATGCTCTTTGAGCCGAGTCCACAGTTCCTCGAATTTCTAGCGCGCGGACACATTCCCATCCACACAAACTTCAACAGTGCCAATACACTCTGGAAACCAGGGTAACCGGCTCCCTCGTGAAGAGTGACACTGGGGTTGACATTTTCGCCAGTGCGCAGGTGGTTTCGGCGAGTATCAAGCGGCAATGACGAAATCATGCGAGCAATACAGAGGGAACTTACTGTAGCTAGTTGGACGCGATACTGTACCCGAGTTCGCGCGCATGCTGTAAGCTGTTAAGTGAGTCACACGACTCGAGGTACGTGCAGCTGGCGTACCTTCTCGTGTGCAACAGTCGGGCGTGCCCACACTTTCTGAAAAATGCAGTGTTACAACTCAAAATGTGGTAACTAAAGGGATTTATGAACGGTAAATGTACGCGCTGGACACCCCAATACACCGAGTTCTGCTTACGATGAGTACAAGAGGAGAGGATGAGAGGGGGTATGAGTGGAGAACTTGAGAGGCGGTTACCAGCCTGATGGAGAGGACAGTGTTGCTTGAAGACCAGTGCTTTGATGCCGAAGGGGAGGAGGCCGAGCCCGCTAAGGTGTGTGCTGTTGCTTATAACGAGTACAAATCGAGAGTGGGCAGGAGAAGGTACAAAAAGCTGTCTACTCCCCGTATCCCTGTAATCCCCCTCACCCATGCTCCCCTCCCTCTCTCCGATCCCCCAGGGTGCGCTGGCAGGGGCTCAAGTGGATGGTGCAGTTTAAGCTCCGCAGTCCCCTCCCCCGTCCACATTCCCTCTCCCACTCTCTCCCTCCCCTCACTGTGTGTCCCTTATCCGCCCCTCCCCCATGGCAGGAAAAGGTGTCAGCCAAGGCGCGCTGGCAGGGGCTCAAGTGGATGGTGCAGTTTGGCTTCCGCCTGCGATCCCGTGAGTCACTTGATGGGGTTTGCGATCCGGTGACCTGGGTTGCTGTGAGTCAATGGGGTGTGGGTTGCTGTGAGTCAATGGGGTGTGGGTTGCTGTGAGGCAATGGGGTGTGGGTTGCTGTGAGTCAATGGGGTGTGGGTTGCTGTGAGTCAATGGGGTGTGGGTTGCTGTGAGTCAATGGGGTGTGGGTTGCTGTGAGGCAATGGGGTGTGGGTTGCTGTGAGTCAATGGGGTGTGGGTTGCTGTGAGGCAATGGGGTGTGGGTTGCTGTGAGTCAATGGGGTGTGGGTTGCTGTGAGTCAATGGGGTGTGGGTTGCTGTGAGGCAATGGGGTGTGGGTTGCTGTGAGTCAATGGGGTGTGGGTTGCTGTGAGGCAATGGGGTGTGGGTTGCTGTGAGTCAATGGGGTGTGGGTTGCTGTGAGGCAATGGGGTGTGGGTTGCTGTGAGGCAATGGGGTGTGGGTTGCTGTGAGTCAATGGGGTGTGGGTTGCTGTGAGTCAATGGGGTGTGGGTTGCTGCGAGTCAATGGGGTGTGGGTTGCTGTGAGGCAATGGGGTGTGGGTTGCTGTGAGTCAATGGGGTGTGGGTTGCTGTGAGTCAATGGGGTGTGGGTTGCTGTGAGTCAATGGGGTGTGGGTTGCTGTGAGGCAATGGGGTGTGGGTTGCTGTGAGTCAATGGGGTGTGGGTTGCTGTGAGGCAATGGGGTGTGGGTTGCTTTGAGTCAATGGGGTGTGGGTTGCTGTGAGTCGATGGGGTGTGGGTTGCTGTGAGTCAATGGGGTGTGGGTTGCTGTGAGTCAATGGGGTGTGGGTTGCTGTGAGTCAATGGGGTGTGGGTTGCTGTGAGGCAACGGGGTGTGGGTTGCTGTGAGTCCCTTGATGGGGTGTGGTGTGAGCTGCTGCAGGAACGACTGTCTATGGGTGGGGGATATCGATTTGTGTGCTGTGTATAAAGGGACGGCTCCAAGTGGATGGTGCAGTTTGGCTTGTGCCTGCGGTTCTTTGAGTCTTTAGACGGGATGTGGGATGCTGTAAGTCTTTGACTGAGGGTGTGTGCAATCTTGTGAGTCTCTCCACGGCATGTCAGCTGCTGCAGGAATGGATGTGGGTGGGGGGTATATGCGCCGTACCAAAAGGGCTCAAGTAAGTTGGGAGGGCTCCCACCTCTCCCTACCCCTCTCCATCCCTCACTCCCTCTCCGTCCCCCCATCCCTCTCCCTGTCCCCCTCCTTTTTTTTTTTCCGCCCCCTGCCTTCTGCGTCAACAGTGTTCCTGGTGGAGGAGGAGGAGGCGGACAAGGAGCGCTGGGAGGTGCGGAGGGAGCTGCAGGTGGACGCCACACCCACAGACCTGCTGGCGGTGGGGGAGAAGCTGAGGGCGTAAGCGTCTCTGCCTCCTCCCTCTCATCGTCCCTCTCTCTCCTTGCTCCCACTCCTCCCTGCCCCGCTCCCTCCCTCTCTCCCTCTCCATCTTCCTCTCCCCCTCCCTCGACCCGTTTCCCTCCCCCCCTCCTCTCTACAATCAGTGTTCCTGGTGGAGGAGGAGGAAGCGGACAAGGAGCGCTGGGAGGTGCGGAGAGAGCTGCAGGTGGAGACTGAATTGACGGAACCCCTTTTCCCTCTCTCCCGCTCCCTCTCCCTGTCTCCCTTATTCTCGTTTCGCCCCATCCCTTTATCCCCCTGCGTCAACAGTGTTCCTGGTGGAGGAGGAGGAGGCGGACAAGGAGCGCTGGGAGGTGCGCAGGGAGCTGCAAGTAGACGCCACACCCACCGACCTGCTCGCGGTGGGGGAGAAGCTGCGCGCGCAGGCGTCCCTGCCGCTGGGAGTTGACCCCAAGGACGCCCATGCGTGGAAGCAGGCAGTTTCCGATAACTTCTGTGTCAGAGGGGCCACCTACCTGTCCGATGGCATCAAGGTGAGCAGCAGCAGCACCAGCAGCAGAGGCAGCACAGGCAGACCTGCTGGCGGTGGGGGAGAAGCTGCGGGCGCAGGCATCGCTGCCGCTGGGGGTGGATCCCAAGGTCGCCCATGCGTGGAAGCAAGCTGTTTCAGACAACTTCTGTGTGTGCGGGGCGACCTACCTCTCCGATGGCATCAAGGTGAGTGAGTTCAGGCTTCCGTCCCCTGACTTTCCCCAGCAAAAGCAGCGCCAGCAGCAGCAGCAGCAGCAGCAGCAGCAGTGCCAGCAGCAGCAGCAGCAGCAGCGCCAGCGAGCACATCACCCACACACCTGCTAGCAGTGAGGTGTATTTTGAGGCGCCTCAAAATACAGGTGCAGTGAGGTGTATTTTGAGGCGCCTCAAAATACACCTCACTGCAAAAGCAGCGCCAGCAGCAGCAGCAGCAGCGCCAGTGAGCACATCACCCACACACCTGCTAGCAGTGGGGGAGAAGATGCGGGCGCAGGCGTCCCTGCCGCTGGGAGTAGACCCCAAGGGCGCCCATGCGTGGAAGCAGGCTGTTTCGGATAACTTTTGTGTGCGCGGGGCTACGTATCTGTCTGTTGGCATCAAGGTGAGCGCACTGAGCGCACTGAGAGCACTGAGAGCACTGAGAGCACTGAGAGCACTGCGAGCACTGAGAGCACTGAGAGCACTGAGAGCACTGAGAGCACTGAGAGCAAGGGGAGAAGCTGCGGGCGCAGGCGTCTCTTCCGCTGGGAGTGGATCCCAAGGGCGCCCATGCGTGGAAGCAGGCTGTTTCCGATAATTTCTGTGTGCGCGGGGCGACCTATCTTTCTGACGGCATCAAGGTACGGGCAGCTTCCATTTCCCTGGCCTTCCCTCTGTAGCACTGAGAGCACTGAGAGAGCAGAAGCCAGCCCCTTCCCTGGCAGCGGTGGGGGAGAAGATGAGGGCGCAGGCATCCCTGCCGCTGGGAGTGGTCCCAAGGACGCCCATGCGTGGAAGCAGGCCGCTGCTGACAACTTCTGTGTGCGCGGCTCCACCTACCTCTCTGATGGGATTAAGGTGAGTGCAGGATACGTTTCCCTAACTTTCTCCAGCAGCAGCAGGAGCAGCAGCAGTAGTAGCACCACCAGCAGCAGTAGCAGTAGCAGACCTGCTGGCAGTGGGGAAGAAGATGAGAGCGCAGGCATCCCTGCCGCTGGGAGTAGACCCCGAGGACGCCCATGCGTGGAAGCAGGCCGCTGCTAACAACTTCTGTGTGCGCAGGGCGACTTACCTGTCTGATGGCATGGCATCAAGGTACGGGCAGCTTCCCTTTCCCCTGACCTGCCTTCTGTAGCACTGAGAGCAGAAGCCAGCCCCAGCAGCAGCAGACCTGCTGGCGGGTACGTCCACAGCAATGTGAGCTTGGTTCCTCCCTCTGGTTCAAGATTGTGAGTTTGAAGGCGTGCCTCAAAAGGCGCGGTACCACGTGCCTCTCTGAGGAGATCAAGGTGGGCCCTGTTCCTTTTCCTCACCCCTCCCTCCGCCCTTCTCGTTCTCTTTCTCGTCCTCCTCACTCTCTCCCTCTTCCACCTTCCTTCCTCAATTCACAGCAGCACAGCCGCCCCTCTTGCTCCTAGCTGTGGACTGGCTGTATTCCAACCAACCCATTCTAATTCTCTCTCTCGAATGGTCCGTTGTATTAATAACCACTATGCATACAAGCATGCAAGATTGATGGCGAGGCAAGCATGCTACTCGCCACCCGCCTGGTCCACAAGGGGTCCAAGTGGGGGTTTTCTCTCTCTCTGTCTCATCCTTCTTTCCTCGCCCTCTCGTCGCCCGTCTTCTTTCCTCTGCAGATCCCAGCAGCCCAGCCGCTGCTCTCGCTGCTGGCTGTGGACTGGTTCAAGTCGGATTCGCGCATTGACAATCTGGCAGCACGACCCGGGTCTGTCATGCAGGTGAGGGGGTGTGAGGGGGGGAGAGGGGGAGCGGGAAAGAGAAGGAGAAGGGGAAGATTGGTTAGAGAGGGATGGAAAGGAGGGGAAGCAACAGTGGACTGACTGGTCCAAGTCGGATTCCCGCATTGACAATGTGGCATCACGGCCACGTGTAGCGAGGGTGTTTTTGAGACGTCTCAAAAACACCCTCGCTACTCGTGGATTCCCGCATTGACAATGTGGCATCACGGCCTGGATCTGTGATGCAGGTGAGGCGGTGCGATGTAAGAGGGTGTCCAGAGATGTGAGTGGATGTGAGGAGAAGTGAGAAAATGTGCTGACAAGTGAGGGTATGTGAGGGGCTTTGGGGGGATATGAGGGTGAGGATGTGAGAGAGTAGGAAGGAGAGAGAGGAAGGGAAGATGAAAGGGAGGACAAAAGGGAGGAGGTAAGGAGTGGGAGGGAGGGAACGGAGGATGCAGCTGGTATTGGAGTGGGCTTTTGAGTCGACTCAAATGCAGCTGGTATTGGAGTGGGCTTTTGAGTCGACTCAAATGCAGCTGGTATTGGAGTGGGCTTTTGAGTCGACTCAAATGCAGCTGGTATTGGAGTGGGCTTTTGAGTCGACTCAAATGCAGCTGGTATTGGAGTGGGCTTTTGAGTCGACTCAAATGCAGCTGGTATTGGAGTGGGCTTTTGAGTCGACTCAAATGCAGCTGGTATTGGAGTGGGCTTTTGAGTCGACTCAAATGCAGCTGGTATTGGAGTGGGCTTTTGAGTCGACTCAAATGCAGCTGGTATTGGAGTGGGCTTTTGAGTCGACTCAAATGCAGCTGGTATTGGAGTGGGCTTTTGAGTCGACTCAAATGCAGCTGGTATTGGAGTGGGCTTTTGAGTCGACTCAAATGCAGCTGGTATTGGAGTGGGCTTTTGAGTCGACTCAAATGCAGCTGGTATTGGAGTGGGCTTTTGAGTCGACTCAAATGCAGCTGGTATTGGAGTGGGCTTTTGAGTCGACTCAAATGCAGCTGGTATTGGAGTGGGCTTTTGAGTCGACTCAAATGCAGCTGGTATTGGAGTGGGCTTTTGAGTCGACTCAAATGCAGCTGGTATTGGAGTGGGCTTTTGAGTCGACTCAAATGCAGCTGGTATTGGAGTGGGCTTTTGAGTCGACTCAAATGCAGCTGGTATTGGAGTGGGCTTTTGAGTCGACTCAAATGCAGCTGGTATTGGAGTGGGCTTTTGAGTCGACTCAAATGCAGCTGGTATTGGAGTGGGCTTTTGAGTCGACTCAAATGCAGCTGGTATTGGAGTGGGCTTTTGAGTCGACTCAAATGCAGCTGGTATTGGAGTGGGCTTTTGAGTCGACTCAAATGCAGCTGGTATTGGAGTGGGCTTTTGAGTCGACTCAAATGCAGCTGGTATTGGAGTGGGCTTTTGAGTCGACTCAAATGCAGCTGGTATTGGAGTGGGCTTTTGAGTCGACTCAAATGCAGCTGGTATTGGAGTGGTTCAATTCAAGCCAGTGAAGTGGATACATCCTTTTTTGTATATCTGGTATGCAACTGTATCTCCTTTTTTGTCCTCCTTTATTGTGCATTCTTTACATTGGAACGTCAGCCATCTGTCCATTCCAGTCTCTTCCCATACACCATCTCCCTTTCCATATCCCCCATTGTTAAGCCGACTTATAAATCCACATCCCTTCCCCATTCCCTCCCTCCGCATTCCCTCCCTCCGCTCCCAGTCGGAAGCGGGGAAGAAGCTGCCATTCGTATTTGTGCTGAACCTGCAAGTGCCCGGCAAGCCCAACTACTCGTGTGTCGCTTACTTTGCTGCCGACCGCCCTGTCAAGAAAGATTCTTTGCTGGGGAGGTTTGTGAACGCGGAGGATGACTCGTTCCGGAACAGCCGCTTCAAGCTCATTCCGCGCATCGAGGAGGTGGGTCTGTGTGTGGCTAAGTATGGGTGTGTATGGGTGTGTGTGTGTGTGTGTGTGTCTAAGGCATATTGAACACGCCTGTCAAGCACCACTCGCTGCTGGGGAGGTTTGTGAACGCTGAGGATGACTCGTTCAGAAACAGCCGCTTCAAGCTCATTCCGCGCATTGAGGAGGTGGGTATGTGTGTGGCTAGGGCGTATGTGTGTGGCTAGGGCGTATGTGTGTGGCTAGGGCGTATGTGTGTGGCTAGGGCGTATGTGTGTGGCTAGGGCGTATGTGTGTGGCTAGGGCGTATGTGTGTGGCTAGGGCGTATGTGTGTGGCGTAGGCATGTGCTCGTCACCTACTGTGTGTCATCTTGAACAAGCCCGTCAAGCCCCACTCGCTGCTGGGGTGGGGAGGTTTGTCAACGCTGAGGACGAGTCGTTTAGGAACAGCCGCTTCAAGCTCATTCCGCGCATTGAGGAGGTGTGTGTGTGTGTGTGTGTGTGTGTGTGGGTGTGTGTGCGTGCGTGTGTGCGCGCGTGTGTGCGTGCGGGCAGACGGGCGGGCGGGCGGGCGTGGTGCGTGGGTGTGTGTGTGGGGCAGCTTCGCTGGCGACCACTCTACTTCTCCTGCCACTTGTTCCTTCCTTGCCAATCGTTCTGACTGCAGGGCTTTTGACTCGTTCAATCGAATTCAACCCACCCACACCCCTCTCACTTCCTCCTTATCACCCTCACTTATTTCTCCTACTACCTTTGTACCACCGTTTCCGACTGCCGTTCTGACCGCAGGGCTTCTGGGCAGTGAAACGGGCAGTTGGAACAAAAGCTGCTATTCTGGGGAAGGCACTCACCTGCAGCTATTTCAAGGGGGAGAACTACTTGGAGGTAGGGACGGGAAGAAGGATGGAGGTGGAGAGGTAAGACTCATGCATGGCAAGGCACTGACTTGCAGCTACTACAAGGGGGAGAACTACCTGGAGGTAGGGAAGATGGGTGTTGGTGGTTGAAACAGCGACGCTGGTTGTAGGGAAGATGTGTGGAGACATGAAAGGTGGGCAAGGCTCTGACTTGCAGCTACTACAAGGGGGAGAACTACCTGGAGGTAGGGAGTTTTACTCGACTCGTGTTTCGCTCATGTCTATCTGCCATCTAAACAAGTATGTGAAGGGCCAAGGGCCCTCCTTGTGTAGTAAGTCGATTTTTGAGTCGACTCAAAAATCGACCTACTATCTGGACGTAGGGAATTTTACTCGACTCGATTTTTGAGTCGCCCATGTCTATCTGCCAGCTAAACGTGCATGTGAAGGGCCAGGGCCCCTTCTCTTCTTGTTGCTCCTTTCGACCCAAGGCCCCTGTGCCTCTCTAACTCTTTCCAACCCCTTTCAACCCCATCAAACCGAACCGCACTCAACCAGATGGACGTGGACGTGGGGTCGTCCTCAGTGGCTCGCAGCGTCATCGGCCTCGTGCTCAGCTACGTCACGTCGCTTGTCGTGGACCTGGCACTTCTCATCGAGGTGAGCTCTTCATGCCGTGCCTTGGCACTACCGCAACAGCGGCCTTGTGCTCGGCTTCGTTACGTTACATCGCTTGTCGTGGACCTGGCACTTCTCATTGAGGTGAAGTTTCTTGTGTTGTGTCTTGTTGTGAACAGGAGAAGGCGCAACAAGAGAAGGCCTATCTTGTTGTGCCTTCTCCTGTTCTCGTCCTACCTGTTATCTTCCTATCCTATCCATCTTTCTTCTTCTTCCAGGCCCAAGCTGCAAACCAGTTGCCTGGGTCACCTTTTCGCCTCAATCCTCCGCATTTGTTGTAACTCGTGCCCTCCCTTCCCTCCTTGGCTCTCCTCTTAATCTTCCCCTCCCTCTTCTGCCTGCATTTCCCTCCATCTCAGGCTTATGCAGCAAACGAGTTGCCCAAGTATCTTTTCGGCACAATCACTCCTATGCGCCTCACCCCAGGCTCTTCACGCTCTTTCTTACGCGACTCAATCTACTCCTCCCACTCCTTTCTTCCTTCACTACGATCCCCCTTCCAGGCCCAAGCTGCAGACGAGCTTCCTGAGTATCTCCTGGGCACAATCACTCTCATGCGGCTTGAACCGAAGAAGGCGATTGACCCCCCTCCTGCTTGAGTTATTGAAAGAACCGGTTGTTGAGTCGATGAGCTGCCCGAGCCTGCTGGGCACAATCACTCTGATGCTCCTCAAACCGAAGAACTCGATTGCATCGTCCCCGTGTCCGTTGTCACATTTTTTATGGTTTGGTATGCTATTGTCAATCAGAACATGCTGGAAGTAGCCGAGCAGCCACCTGTATTCACCGGTGTAGTAAATATTTGAGAACTTGGTAGCATTGGCAACAGGAGGGTAGAGAGCGTGTATCAGCCATGATCAGCCAGATGATTGATTGTTGAAATGTACTCTTAATCCTAACGCTTCTTAATGTTAAGCTAGATATCAGAGAACCAATGCTTTGAAATAAAAAGGATCATCTACTGCAATCTTCTTGAACTACGACGATTATGACAATAGCATTCTTAGCGGGCATTGTAATATAATCATGAAATCTCTGTTTGTGCTCTCATCTGTCATCGAAATCGAATTCATTCATAGCGATGTTCAAAATTTGTGTTCGTGTGGTGCACCACCCAGTGTTCCTGCGATCCTTTGTCCCCGTCTCTTTGTCCTCCAATTTCCCTCCACCCCCTTCCCGCTCCATTTGCCCCCGCCTTCCCCGCCCCCTTCATTCTCCCCCCTCCCCCCTTCCACTCCACGCCATCTCTGCACAGCTCTGATCAAACGCCACCCACGAAGATGCTCTCTTCTCTTTCCTCCCTTCTCGCTTGGTCACGACCCACACGCGTTCTGCTACTCCACCCTAACTTGCCGCCATGGTCAGTTCCCTCCTTAGCCTTCCCGCACCGCGTTCTCAATCCGTCGCGTTACCTCTGCCGAAGCACGCGCACCGTCGTTGTTTCTCCCGCTGTCGCAGGCCCGCGAATTCTCCGTTTCGAATTTGTTTAGTTTGCAATTTTAGGGTTTGCTGTACTGATCAAGCCTCGTATTGTTTGACTCAAAGACTATACGGCCCGCATGTTACTTCCTCCTGGCATGCATTACTTAACTTATTAGGGCCAGCCCTAGGGCTAGGTTAGGTAACGGGCCAGGAGTCTCCATTTTGACCCTGCCAGGTGTTATGATACGAAAAGTGCGATGGATCTTTGTGTTTTGGCCCGTTTATAAGGCAATGTCGAAACGCCTGCGCGTTTCCGTCGCGTTTAGTGGTCAATCCAGCTTATAACTTCCTTAGTACTCTTGTTCGCTAGGCATCTCAAGTATACTCTGGCCCCACTTTCCATCCTCTTCTCTCCCTACATCCCCTTCCCCCTCCTCCCGATTCCTTTTTGTTTGAGGTTGATTTTGAGAATTCTCAAAATCAACCTCAAACAAATGGCATCTCAAGAATACTCTGGGCCCACTTCCCATCCTCTTCTCTCCATACATCCCCTTCCCCCTCCTCCCGTTTCCTTCCCCGTTCCCCATTTCCTCCCCTCGTCCGCAACTTCTCTTGCAATCCAGCCCTCTCTCTAACTTAGTTGTTTACGCGCCCGCCTTTCTCATCCCCCCACCCTTTCTTCGCCGCCCCCCCTCCCCTGCTCCTCCCCATTCGTCCCGCTCTTCCGCATCAACCCCATAACCTCCCCTTTTCCACGCACCTCTCCTTCCGTCTCTTCACGTCCTTCTCCCTACGACACCGCACAGCCTTCCCACAAAGCATTCCGCTGCAAGCCCTCCATCCCCCCCTCCTCTCCCCTTCCCCCCCACACACTCCTTTCCTCCCCGTGACGCTACGTACAGCCTTCCCACAAGGTCTTACGCAACAATCTCAATCACCTTCCTCCCCACCCTCCCCCCCCCCCCCCCCTACCCCCCTACTTCTGTTCCGCGTTCCCTCCTCGCCCCCCTCTCCTTTGTCACCACGTGCAGCCTTCCCACAAGGCCTTCCGCATCAAGATCAAGCTCGCGAAGAAGATGAAGCAGAACCGGCCCATCCCCTACTGGATCCGCCTGCGCACCGACAACAAGATTCGGTACGTTGAATTTAGTCAACAAAGTTCGGTACGTTTGAGTTGGTTAACAGTGTGAAAGGCGTGAAAACGAAGCAGAGTCGCCCCATCCCCTACTGGATCCGGCTGCGCACCGACAACAAGGTTCGGTACGTTCCACACAAATTCGCACTGGTTGAAGCGGAACTGGCCCATCTATGACCGATTTCCGTTTATTATCTTCTTAGCTTGCATTCCGGCAACATCTCATCTTTTTTCCGGGAGCCCCTCCCTTCCCCACCCACTTCCCCGGACGCCTCCTTCTTCCCCTCCTTCCCCCTCCCCCCCTATTCCTCCCTTCCTCTCCCCCGTCCACCCTTTGCATCTCCCCCTTGTATCCTTGCCCTTCCCCTGGAGAGCGTGCTTCGACTATTGATGGGACAGGAGGGAAGGGATCAAGGAGCCGGGACTAGTCACGTGAAATCAGAAGTGTATTAAGACTTCTCAAAACACTTATAATTTCACGTGGTTTCGACTATTGAGGGGACAGGAGGGAAGGGATCAAGGGGCCGGGACTATTTTAACGAGCAGGTGTAGTTAACCGCATCTGGGGGATATCCGATATAGTACGGACAAACTTGGTTAGCTGGTCGCATCAGGGGTTCCAGACTAACTAGAACGGCCTAGGTTCGTGGGGCTTTCGGATAAGGCTGAGAGAAGAAAGCGTGCCTCGATAGTCCGTAGACATGATTAAGAATCCGCGTGAATGTGAAGAGTTGAGCCGCGAGACGTCTCGAACGACCCCCTTTGTGTTCACGAGATGCCAGGAAAAGAGTAGCGCCGATTCTGTAGGCGCCTCAAAGACTGTCCGGGGATACGATTCAGAATCCTCGGAAATGTCAAGGGTAGATTTGCGAGGCATCTCGAACGACCCCCTTTGTAGTCGCCTGAAACGTATCGAGAGGCCAGGCAGCGACTTACAGACTGGCCGACAGGCAGTAACCTATACGGATGGAGCAGACAGGCAGAAATGTCCAGGTCAGGACGGCTACATGGCAGAAACCGACACGCCAGGAACGGACAGGGCAGAAAACGACAGGACAGAAACCGACAGGGCAGAAAATGACAGGACAGAACCCGACAGGGCAGAAATCGACAGAGCTGGAAGGGGCATAGCGGATGCCGTGACAAACTCTCCTAGGATAACGAGATATGTGTCCGCGAGACAGCTCGGTAGGTGCCATCCTGAATGGCATTGGCTTGCTTTGAGGCGCTTCAAAACAAGGCAAACTCTCCTTCGAGGATAACGAGATATGAGTCCTTGAGCCAGCTCAAGAGGTGGTTTCTTTCTGAAGCGCCTGAAAAATCGCCGTGGCAAACTCTCCTTTTAGGATAACGAGATTTGAGTCCTCGAGCCAGCTCAGTAGGTGCCCTCTTGAATGCCATTGGCTCACCCTTTTACCTGTGTTGGTCCCCTCCTGCCATTGGCTCCTACCACTTTCTGTTCCTCGCAGGTGCAACGTCAAGCGTCGGCACTGGAGGCGTACGAAGCTGAAAAGTACAGGAGTATATCTGATCCCCTTCGTAATTGGCCTGTGTGACTGTGTCTGTTCCCCCAACTGCTCCCCGCAGGTACAACGCCAAGCGTCGGCACTGGAGGCGTACGAAGCTGGGCTTCTAAGCTCAGAGCAGCACCAAGCACAGCTGCTGCACCCAGGGAGCTGCATACATGGCAGGATTCAGGGCAGGAGCCCGGGCAGCTTGATGCATCATGGACGGAGTTTGCAGTGTTGAAAATGTGCCGGGATTAGGCTGCTGTTGCCTTGTCACTGTTCTGCACGAAAATGGGATCGTGAAGCAAGCAGGGTGGTTTTCTTTGCTGCCGTGTGCTCATCCAAAGCAAGAATCGCAGCTTCTTGTAAGGAGTTTTCAGTGTTCCCTGATTTCGTGTATGTGATGTTCGCTTCAGTGGAATAGGCCTTTGTGCAAACCAATGCTGGTGTGGTTTAGTCCATTACTGGTGGTGATATTAATGCATAATTTCACATGGATTTTAAAGTCAGTGTCACATTCACAACCCTGTATCCACGTACAGGTATTTCCCATATTATGCCATCATAGTTCTAGAATTTAGGAGACAGCCGGACTGCATGTCTTCCGCTCGCGACGCGCCTATCTCAAACAACATTCACGTCTTGTTCGGCGAAGGTCGAGTTGACACCCGTTCGTGTTTTTGCGACGTTAACGAAAACTGTAACCAGAGCATTACTCGCGCCAGTAACGGTAGCTGGCGAGTGCTGTCTTTTTTCGTCGGCTCCCCTCCCCACTCTCGACGTGGCACCTTTCCCTTCACCCCGCCCAGCACCACCTTCATCCCTTGTATCCCTCGTAACTCTCGCCGTGACTTCCGCTTTTCCCCTCTCGAACCATGCACATATCCTCGCTTTACAGCAAGAACTGTGCTTCAATTTCCTTTTCTCCTCATTTCCGTCTCGCTGCCCTTTTCTCCTCCTGTCGTCCTCTGTAGGAATTGATGGTCGTTTCTCTTCAACTCACTTCCCGCCGCCCGCTCAGCACCTTTCTGAATACCCCCTCCGCCAGCAGCAATCGCTATTGGGTGCCCGCCTGTTGTTCTCAGCGTACTACGACTAGTACTTATATCAGCGTTCTCAGCGTACTACGACTAGTGTTGTAGAGGACTCTCCTCTACTTTGCAGGAACTGGGAGTTGTTCTAAACGATAGAGCTCTGTCTTAGCTTTCCAACGAGCCGTCAAACACGTCGATCGCCTAAGTATTCTCCGAGATATAGGCGTTCACGTACTAGGTGGTGCTCTTGAATGCAAGTAAAGAAGCTCTCTGGAATTTGTGTTCGAATGTACCTTGTACAAAGAACTCTGAGTTTCACTATGATGGCATGCAATACAAAGAAAACGGATTTATAGCATGCAAACAAGATCGAATCGCACAAGTAACCTCGAACCGCTACACTCGCGAATGTTCGAGTAACATCGAAAGGGTGAAATTCGACTCTCGAATTTCACCGATCCGAATTCTCCTTGGGTCTCGAATGTTCCTGGTGCTGCCATGTGGCACCGAATCGAATGGGTCTTCCGAAGTCAATCCTCAACCCCACGCAAACATGCAACTCACTCGAAGGTGAGCACAAGTCACACATTCGGTGGGTTGGGGGCATACAAACGCCCCACCACCACCTTGCTTCCAACACACGTAATCTCCAACAACTAGTACTTATATCAGCGTTCTCAGCGTTCTTAGGTACTGGGATTGCAGTATCAGCACAACGGCTTGCGCGACGACCAGCATCGATGCTGATCAGCGCCGTGGATTATTTTCGAGGCGCCTCAATAGTGTTCGATCAATAGTAGTAGTGTTGCGTCTTCATCATCAGCACGACGGATTGCGCGACGACCAGCGTCAGCGCCGTAGACGCGACGTGGATTGTCGCGTGGTACGGGAGATATCTAAAGCCCAGCCCAGTCGCGCAAGGCTGGGCCGCGGCAGCTGGAGCCGCCACTACAGCTGCAGCAGCTGGAGCTCCGGCGGCAGCAACAGGATCAGCAGCAGCAGCAGCAGCAGCAGCATTGGCAGTGGCAGCAGTGTCTCGCTTCTCGCCGCATGCATCATCCTCAGTCATCCTCATTTGCAAGATGACCGTTAGTGACCAGTACTAAATGTTCCAAAACAGTAAATGTTCCAAAATCAACTCAGACATCGCATATACGCAAGTAGAAACCATTCATAAGACTTCCCTCCTACCCCGAGCGCACAAATCAAGGTTCACAGAACCATCACCACCACTCTAAAACGGAGTGGACCCAATGATATTCCCCTGCGGCGAGTAATCACACACCCACATGCCACCCCCATCAGGGCATTGCGCCGGCGCACACCCCACATGGGTCGTCCCACCCCACTCCACCGCTCTAGAACGGAGTGGACCCAATGATGTTCCCCTGGGGCGAGTAATCACACACCCACATGCCACCCCCATCAGGGCACTGAGCCGACGCACACCCCACATGGGTCGTCCCAGCCCACACCACCTGCGTGTAATGCCCGCACATCCGCCCCTCCGCGCACCCCTCCGGCACGGGGCTATAACTCCAATCCGCCTTCTCATCCACCCACGCCTGCACCGCCATGCGATCCTCCTCGGGGGTCAGCGCGGCCGGCGCGCGCCAGTACAGGTTCTGCCCGAGCCCCTCCGCGCCGCCGTGCTGCAGCGGGCACCCCGCGCCCGCCAGCTGATCCGCCCACTCCTGCGCTGCTGCTGCCACGCCGTCGTCCCATGCCAGGTCCGGCACCCCCACCTCCCGCCGCGCCGCGTTGTGCACCTCCAGGATCGCGCCAATGTCGATCTGCCCTCCTCCTCCTCCGCCGTCTCCGTTGGCGTTCTCGCCGCCGTTGTCAATGCCGCCGCCGTTGTTGTCACCATCGCAATCGCCGCCCTCAGCTTGTGCACCCAACCGCTCATTCCCATAGTTCACACCACGGTCCGCGCCTTGCACCCCGCTCGTGGGAATGGCGACATCCCTGGCTGTTGCCATGAGGAACCCTGGTGCCATGTCAAGCCAGCTCCTGCGGTTCACACCAAGGTCCGCGCCTTGCACCCCGCTCCTGTGAATGGCCACGTCGCTGCTCGTCGCCATGCGAAACTGCTGTGCCTTGTGGAACCCGTTGCGCTGATTGTCCTCAAGCTCCCAGCCGTTGTTGCCATTGTTGCTCCCGTAGTGCACACCACGGTTCGCGCCTTGAATCCCTCCCTCGCGAATGGCCACATCGCTGCTCGTCGCCATGCGAAACTGCTGTGCCTTGTCCAGCCCAGTGCGGTGATTGCCGCGAGGCTCCCACCCACGGCTGTTGCTGAAGCGAGACAAGAGGGATGATGCTCCCTTGCCAGAGCCACGAGTCCTGCCCCGTCGCTGTCCCTTGCTGTCAACATTCATGCGCGTGCTGCTGCTCTCCCTTCCATGCCACTGCACTGCATCATTGACATTGTCCTTCTCATTGTCGCCGTCCCGGTCGCTGTCACTCATCCTGTCGCCGTCTCTGACGTTGTCGTTCTCCTTGTCGTTCTCCCTGTCATTATCGACCGCCACATTTCTCCACGCCTCGCCCTCCTCTGCTTGCATCAGCGCCACCGCCGCCGCCGCCGTCATCGTTGCTGATCCCGGGTGAATAATCGCCACGTCCTCAGCCGTCGCCATGTGAGGACGCGCCGCTCCCTCCTTCGCTCCCATCGGCGCTGCCGTTGCCATCGCCTGTACTGATCCCGGGTGAATGATCGCCACGTCCTCAGCTGTCGCCATGTGAGGACGCGCGTGGTGTTGGCGCAATTGTGCGTTTGTCCCAGCAGGATTTCCTGATGCCGTCTCAGCGCCGCTAGGGCTCGGGGTGTGGATCGCCACATCCTCAGCCGTCGCCATGTGAGGACGCACGGGATTCTTGCTTGCTCCCATAATCGAAGCAGCAGGCTGGTTCGCGGCGCTCTGACTCGCAGATGCCGTCGTCAGGGTGTGGATCGCCGCATCCTCAGCTGTCGCCATGTGAGGACGCGCCTCTCCCTCCGCCGCTCGCATCGGAGCCACTGTTGCGCCTTCCGCCGTCGCCTTTTCTGATCCCGGGTGAATCGCCACGTCCTCAGCCGTCGCCATATGAGGACGCGCGGCGCGCTGGGCGTTCGACCCAGCAGGATGATTGTTCGATGCCGTCTTCACGGTGTGGATCGCCACATCCTCAGCCGTAGCCATGTGAGGCGGCGCGGCCATGTGAGGCGGCGCGGCGTGCTGTGCGTTCGTTGCGCCCTTGTCTGTCGCGCCCTTGTTTGTTGCGCTCTTGCCTGCTGCGCCCTTCTTCGCCGCGCCCTTATCCGCTGCGCCAGCGTCCGTTGCGCCCTTGCCTTCCGCGGCCTTGCTCGGAGCGGCCTTGCCTTCCGCGACCTTGCCCGGCGCGCCCTTGACTTCCGCGACCTTGCCCGGCGCGCCCTTGCCTTCCGCTACCTTGCCCGGAGTGCCCTTGCCTTCCGCAACCTTGCCCTGCGCGCCCTTGCCTTCCGCGACCTTGACCGGCGCCCCCTTGCCTGCTGCGCCCTTGTTCGCCGCGCCCTTACCCGCTGCGGTAGCTCCCGCTCCGCCCTTCCCTGCAGCGCCCTTGCCCGTTGCGCCCTTGCCTGCTGCGCCCTTTTCCACCGCGCCCTTGCCCGCAGCGCCCGCGCCCACACCCTTCAAGGGTTCGTCTTTCTCTGCCGCGCCAACATCGTCAACGTGATGAGCAGGAGCACGCGGAGGGAGAGTTGAGGCGGAATTATTTTCAGTGTTTGAAACACTTGACGTGTTGTTGAAATCCGCGGTCGACCCGCTTGATTCGGAATCATTACTTGCCGCAGCGACGACCTTCGGAGCCACTGGGGCGGTGGTAACGTTGGCGTCGCGGCCATGTGCAGTTTTAGAAGGCGGAGTGGGTTTGGTGAGAAGACCACGGCGGCTCGGCAGGGTTGAAGGTGCCAGGTGCACTGAGTACGAGCCGACGAACAGAAGGAGAAGAACGATGGGTATCAGCCTCGTATTCTCCATGACGTTCATCCAACGCAAAACAATGCGTTAGCTTTGGCGCGGTAAATGTTTTTGTAGACGCCTGGCTGGTTATGCTGCTGATGCAAATCAAGCTAAATCTGGAGGAAGGAGGTGTGCGTTTGGTTGCTCTCTACAGCTGAGAAAGCAAGTTCAGGTTTGCTGGATGTGCTTCGAGATAATTTGTGTTCCAATTTATGCTTCCAATCTGCTTATCCGCGACTCGTATTGTATCAGTGCGCTGCGAGCCGTACATTGCGATGACGGCGAACGAGGTTACGGACTTTGATTGCCGTGAGCGAGGCGGGTGAAGCTTGGGTGAGCCCAAGATGCAGACCACGACAACGGTGTACGCGACGGGAACCGACGCAAACGGACTGGCGAAGCCAGGTTACAGAATTTGGAGTGGATTGGACGACATATGGGAGGGTCGCTCAAAAAAAAGTGAGCGCTTCCGAAAGTCAACCCAAGTCCCAGGGTCCATCGAAAGGGTTGTTGAACTAGTGGTTGAGTTACCACACAGGCTAAAGACTGAATCCATCTTTTTATGGAAATCATGAAAGAGCTCAAGGTTACTATTATCTTATGTGTTATTAATATTCAAAAGATAGCGGCTTCACCCAGATAATGGCACCCTGAACCCAAACCTTCAGCTGGAGGCCTGCGCCAAGATTCTCTGCAGCTACCTGTATTTCTTAAATGGCATCAACCAAAAACAAGAAACCAGAAACTAAACAAGCTAAATTAGAAAGCGAACAGGGAAGTAAACTTAAGGAACTGCACTAGTGTTTCAATTCTCCTACAACCAAAGCACCCTACTTAGTGAGTCCAAATTTCTTCATGAGTGCAGAATCTCTGAAGCTGTAAGGCAGCCATGTCATGACACGGAATGATCCCACCAGATGTCCAAACGCCCACTCTATTGGCACCTTCTTGGCCAAGGCTTTCTGGCGTTGGGAAGGTGGAGAGCAGGAAGAGGAGGGTGAGGGGGGAAAGGGAAAAGTCGGGAGGGGAAGGAAGGGGAGGGAGACATGTCATGACACGGAATGAGCTCACCAAATGCCCAAACGCCCACTCCATCGGCACCCTCTTGGCCATGGCTTTCTGATGGTGGGGGAGGGTATTGAGAAGGGTGGGGGAGAGGAAGAGGGGAGAGGACGGAAGCATGGGGATGTAGTATGTGAAAGCTGTAAAGCAGCCATGTCATGACACGGAATGACCCCACCAGGTGACCAAACGCCCACTCTATTGGCACCCTATTGGCCAAGGATTTCAGGTGGAGGGCGAGGGGAAGGAAAAGGGGGGAACGAGGAGGGAAATGGGGAACAGGGCCATGAGAGTGGAACAGGGCGAGTGGAAGCTGTAAGGCAGCTATTGGTACCTTCTTGACCAAGGCTTTCTGGCAGAGGGAGGGAGGGAGGGAAATAGAGGGGGAGGGGATAGAACGGCAAGAGATGCAAATGAAATCTGCACGAAGCAAACCCACCAGATTCCAAAACAATCGCACATGCACATGCATGCACACGCACATGCATGCACACGTGCACACATGCACACATGCACATGCGCAAGCATGCACACACACACATGCACATGCACATGCACATGCAAACTCACACATGCACATGCACACGCACATGCACATGCACAGGCACATGGACATACACATGCACATGCAAACACACATGCACCTGTCCAGACGCCCAGACGCACACATACAAAAAACACCTCACCACCACCCTCACCACCACCCTCACCACCACCCTCACCACCACCCTCACCACCACCCTCACCACCACCCTCACCACCACCCTCACCACCACCCTCACCACCACCCTCACCACCACCCTCACCACCACCCTCACCACCACCCTCACCACCACCCTCACCACCACCCTCACCACCACCCTCACCACCACCCTCACCACCACCCTCACCACCACCCTCACCACCACCCTCACCACCACCCTCACCTCCACCCTCACCACCACCCTCACCACCACCCTCACCACCACCCTCACCACCACCCTCACCACCACCCTCACCACCACCCTCACCACCACCCTCACCACCACCCTCACCTCCATCAGAGCCCTTGCATTGCAAACACGTCTCCTGGTGTGGAACTGGGGCGTTTGAGAGGCCCCTGCCCTGGCCTCTATCTGCTGCTCAAAACACATACACAAATGCACATACATGCAGCAAAGCACACACAAAGCGCTCCCACACCACCCTCACCTCCACCAGAGCCCTAGCGAACACGTCTCTTGGCGTGGACTGGGGCGTTTGCTAGGCCCCTGCCCTGGCCTCTATGTCGCTGAAGGCACAGGCACACACATACATGCAGCTTATGCACCACCTTCCCCCCCTCACCTCCACTAAAGCCCTGGCGAACACATCTCCTGGCGTGGACTGGGGCGTTTGAGACGCCCCCGCCCGTGCCTCTATCTGCTTCTGAAAGCGGGAGAATATCTTGAGACGCAGGTGGGAGACGGAGGAGGAGGAGTTGCCACCAAAGTTGGACCTGGGATGATGGTGTGAAGGAGGAGAGGGGAGGGAAGGGGAGGGGAGGGGAGGGAAGGGGAGGGGAGGGGAGGGGAGGGGAGGGGAGGGGAGGGGAATAGAGGGGCAGCAGGGTGAAGAGGAATACACGTAACCTCTATCTGCTGCAAAAAAGCGGGAGACGACCCTGAGACGTAGGTGGGAGACGGAGGAAGAGCAGTTGCCACCGAAGTTGGACCTGGGATGATGGTGTGAAGGAGGAGAGGGGAGGGGAGGAGAGGTGAGGGGAGGGGAGGGGAGGGGATGGGAGGGGAATAGAGGGGCAGCAGGGTGAAGAGGAATGCATGTAACCTCTATCTGCTGCAGAAAGCAGGAGACGACCCTGAGACGTAGGTGGGAGACGGAGGAGGAGCAGTTGCCACCGAAGTTGGACCTGGGATGATGGTGTGAAGGAGGAGAGGGGAGGGGAGGGGAGGGGAGGGGAGGGAAGGGGAGGGGAGGGGAGGGGAGGGGAGGGGAGGGGAATAGAGGGGCAGCAGGGTGAAGAGGAATACACGTAACCTCTATCTGCTGCAAAAAAGCGGGAGACGACCCTGAGACGTAGGTGGGAGACGGAGGAAGAGCAGTTGCCACCGAAGTTGGACCTGGGATGATGGTGTGAAGGAGGAGAGGGGAGGGGAGGAGAGGGGAGGGGAGGGGAGGGGAGGGGATGGGAGGGGAATAGAGGGGCAGCAGGGTGAAGAGGAATGCATGTAACCTCTATCTGCTGCAGAAAGCAGGAGACGACCCTGAGACGTAGGTGAGAGACGGAGGAGGAGCAGTTGCCACCGAAGTTGGACCTGGGATGATGGTGTGAAGGAGGAGAGGGGAGCGGAGGGGAGGGGAATACAGGGGTAGCAGGGTGACGAGGAATGCATGTAACCTCTATCTGCTGCAGAAAGCGGGAGACGACCCTGAGACGTAGGTGGGAGACGGAGGAGGAGGAGGAGTTGCCACCAAAGTTGGACCTGGGACGGTGGTGTGTGGAGAGGGGGGGAAGGGTTGGAATAAGAAGGAAATGGATAGAAGAGGGTGGGACGGACACCAGGGTGGGGGAGAAGAGCATGCATGCGACTATCTGCTGCTGAAAGCAGGAGGAGATCTTCAGGCGCAGGTGGGAGACGGAGGAGGAGCAGTTGCCACCAAAGTTGGACCTGGGATGGTGGTGTGAAGGAGGAGAGGGGAGGGGAGGGGAGGGGAATAGACGGGCAGCAGGGTGAAGAGGAATGCATGTAACCTCTATCTGCTGCAGAAAGCAGGAGACGACCCTGAGACGTAGGTGGGAGACGGAGGGAGGAGTGCCCACCAAAGTTGGACCTGGGACGGTCGTGTGTGGAGAGGGGGGGAAGGGTTGGAATAAGAAGGAAATGGATAGAAGAGGGTGGGACGGACACCAGGGTGGGGGAGAAGAGCATGCATGCGAGTAACCTCTATCTGCTGCTGAAAGCAGGAGGAGATCTTCAGGCGCAGGTGGGAGACGGAGGAGGAGGAGTTGCCACCAAAGTTGGACCTGGGATGGTGGTGTGGAGGAGGAGAGGGGAGGGGAGGGGAGGGGAGGGGAGGGGAGGGGAATAGAGGGGCAGCAGGGTGAAGGAAATGCATGGAAATGGTGTGGAGGGGATAAGATGGGAGGGGATGGGATGGGAGGGGAGGGGAGGGGAGGGGAGGGGAGGGGATGGGATGGGAGGGGAGGGGAGGGGATAGTACACAAGGTAAGAACTAGGACAGCAGGGGGGGGAGACAGAGATACTGTTGTTGAGCAGCAAAGGTAGCCTCGTATGGGGAGCCTCAACAACAGATGAGATCCCATAAGACCCTCATGCCTCATCACTCATGCCTTACTACGGATGGAGATATCCTTAGCCGAATTGCAAACGGCTTCAGCTCCATCCGTAGTGCATGAGTGATGTGTACTGCTGGCCTTGGCTGCACTGTGGGGGGACTTTTGAGTCGACTCAAAAGTCAGCTCCATCCGTAGTGCATGAGTGATGTGCACTGCTGGCCTTGGCTGCACTGTGGGGAGACTTTTGAGTCGACTCAAAAGTCAGCTCCATCCGTAGTGCATGAGTGATGTGCACTGCTGGCCTTGGCTGCACTGTTGGGGGACTTTTGAGTCGACTCAAAAGTCAGCTCCATCCGTAGTGCATGAGTGATGTGCACTGCTGGCCTTGGCTGCACTGTGGGGGGACTTTTGAGTCGACTCAAAAGTCAGCTCCATCCGTAGTGCATGAGTGATGTGCACTGCTGGCCTTGGCTGCACTGTGGGAAGGGAGTTGCTGCTGCCTTGGCCACATACATGCCGCTTGCAAGCCATCTCCACAGCCCTCTCCTAGTGACTATTGAGTCGACTCAAAAGTCGCTTTGGCCACATACATGCCGCTTGCAAGCCATCTCCACAGCCCCTCTCCTACCTGATGGCGCCCGGAGCAACGAGCATGACTTGGATGCCAAACGGCTTCTCCATCCAGAGCGCATGAGTAATGCTGTGCACTGCTGCCTTGCCTTGGCTGGACAGTAGGTGCTCTTTTGAACCTCAACATCAGGAACAACCCTCTCCTACCTGATGGCGCCTGGTGCGACGAGCATGACTTGAATGCCAAACGGCTTCAACTCCATTCGGAGCCCATGAGTGATGCTGTGCACTGCTGCCTTGGCCGCACAGTAGGTGCCAGCAAAGGGTGTGGTGATCCATGCTGAGACAGACCCTATGTTCACGACCTTGCCACTTCCCTGCGGATTGGAATGGGGGGGAGGGAAGGAGGAGGGGAAAGCTCATAAGGAGCAAGGGGCGTTGTGATCCATGCTGACACCGACCCTATGTTCACGACCTTGCCACTGCCCTGCGGATTGGAATGGGGGGGAGGGAAGGAGGAGGGGAAAGCTCAGAAGGAGCAAGGGGCGTTGTGACCCATGCTGACAACGACCCTATGTTGACGATTTTACCACTTCCCTGACGATTTGAGAGAAGGGCAGAGCGCGTGGGGAGGCAGAAGGCGGAGGGTGGAAGGCAAGGGGGGAAGGGAGTGATGCTGTGAACTTCAGTCAGTCTGCCTGCCTGCCTGCCTGCCTTGGCCGCACAGTCAGTGCCCGCAAAGCGTGTGGTGAACCATGCTGACACCGACCCTATGTTCACGATCTTGCCGCTGCCCTGCAGATTGGAATGGGGGGGAGGGAAGGAGGAGGAGAAAGCTCAGAAGGAGCAAGGGGCGTTGTGATCCATGCTGACACCGACCCTATGTTCACGACCTTGCCAGTGCCCTGAAAATTTGATAGAAGGGGGGAGTAGACAAGGAGGGCGAGGGACGGAAAATGCAAGGAATAAGAAATGGGCGGGAGCAAAGCGCGTTGTGACCCATGCTGACACCGACCCTATGCTCACGACCTTGCCTTTGGCCTGACGGTGGGAGTTGGGGAAGAAACGGAATGGCAGAAGGAGAAGAACGGGGGGGGATTAGAAAGCAAAAGGAGAAGGAAAGGGGATAGCGCAGGCGACATAACACATCTCACCCACCTGCTCCACGACATGGGGGGAAACCACTTTTGAGGCACCTCTTGAGACGAATTTTGAGGCACCTCAATCAACAGAACATGTTTCAGTCACCCACCTGCTCAACCACTTTTGAGGCACCTCTTGAGACGACTTTTGAGGCCTAGGTGACAGTGAGCAGCCAACCACGTTGGTGACTTGTGAGTCGACTCAAAAGACATGTTGGGGGGGGACCACTGCCTATGTGACAGTGAGCAGCCAACCACGTTGGTGACTTGTGAGTCGACTCAAAAGACATGTTGGGGGGGGACCACTGCCTATGTGACAGTGAGCAGCCAACCACGTTGGTGACTTCTAAGTCGACTCAAAAGACATGTTGGGGGGGGACCACTGCCTATGTGACAGTGAGCAGCCAACCACGTTGGTGTGCATGTTGCTGAGAACCGCCCCCACATGCCTTCTATAAGCTCTCCCCTTGACTGAAGAAGTGTTTTGAGACGTCTCAAAACACCAACCACGTTGGTGTGCATGTTGCTGAGAACCGCCCCCACATGCCTTCTATAAGCTCTCCCCCCTGATAAAAGAGGAGCTATAAGACATCTCAAAACACTTCTTTTATCACCTCATAACCGCCCCCACATGCCTTCTATAAGCTCTCCCCCCTCTCGCCTGCCTCACCTGCTCCACCATGTGCGGCACCACGGCCCGAGTGACAGCCAGCAGGCCAAGCACGTTGGTTTCCATGTTGCTGCGGAAGGCATCCAAAGCCCCCACATGCTCTCCATCCACAGCCTTACCTGCCTTCCCTCCCTCACCTGTTCCACCATATGCGGCACAACAACTTGAGTGACAGCCAGCAGGCCAAGCACGTTGGTTTCCATGCTGCAGCTGAGCGCATCCAGAGGCATCTGCTCGCGGTCACCTCACTCAACGCCACACCCACATTCATTGTATGACCTCCCATCTCCCCTCGCCTCACCTGCTCCACCATGTGAGGCACCACGGCCTGGGTAACGGCCAGCAGGCCAACCACGTTGGTCTCCATGTTGCTGCGGAATGAATCCAGAGGCATCTCAGCCATGGGACCAAAACAGCCCGCCCCCGCATTGTTCACCAGTATGTCTATCCTGCCCGCCTGCACACATGCCATGAGTAACGGTGTGTTGAGGCAGCGTGGAAAACCAGTGTGGAAAAACGGTGTGTTGGGGCAGCGTGGAAAAACAGTGTGGAAAAACGGTGTGTTGGGGCATCCACAGGCATTTCCGCCATGGGGCCAAAGCAGCCCGCTCCCGCGTTGTTGACCAGTATGACTATCCTGCCCGCCTGCACGCATGCGATGAGACAGGGAAAAGCAGAGCGGAAGAGTTGACTTTTGAGTCGACTCAAAAGTCAACTCTCTCCTGCCCACCTGCACGCATGAGATGAGACAGGGAAAAGCAGCGTGAAACATTGGAGCGTTGGGGGCATCCTGAGGCATCTCCGCCATGGGCCCAAAGCACCTGCTCCCGCGTTGTTCACCAGAATGTCTCTTCTGCCCGCCTGCACAGGTGAGACAGGGAAGACAGGCAGGTGAGACAGACAGACAGGCATCAAGCATGGGCGATACGGGTGAGCACAGCGATAAGGTGGAGCGATACGAGCAAGCAAGCATTGCATCCTGAGGCATCTCCGCCATGGGGCCAAAGCACCCAGCCCTGGCGTTGTTCACCAGAACGTCTATTCTTCCGGCCTGTGTTGGTGAGCAAGGGAGGAAGCATGAGGGGTGATGACTGGAAGGCAGAGCAAGAGGTGCATCCTGAGGCATCTCCGCCATGGGGCCAAAGCACCCTGCCCTGGCGTTGTTCACCAGAACGTCTATTCTTCCGGCCTGTGTTGGTGAGCAAGGGAGGAAGCATGAGGGGTGATGACTGGAAGGCAGAGCAAGAGGTGCATCCTGAGGCATCTCCGCCATGGGGCCAAAGCACCCTGCCCTGGCGTTGTTCACCAGAACGTCTATTCTTCCGGCCTGTGTTGGTGAGCAAGGGAGGAAGCATGAGGGGTGATGACTGGAAGGCAGAGCAAGAGGTGCATCCTGAGGCATCTCCGCCATGGGGCCAAAGCACCCTGCCCTGGCGTTGTTCACCAGAACGCCTATTCTTCCGGCCTGTGTTGGTGAGCAAGGGAGGAAGCATGAGGGGTGATGACTGGAAGGCAGAGCAAGAGGTGCATCCTGAGGCATCTCCGCCATGGGGCCAAAGCACCCTGCCCTGGCGTTGTTCACCAGAACGCCTATTCTTCCGGCCTGTGTTGGTGAGCAAGGGAGGAAGCATGAGGGGTGATGACTGGAAGGCAGAGCAAGAGGTGCATCCTGAGGCATCTCCGCCATGGGGCCAAAGCACCCTGCCCTGGCGTTGTTCACCAGAACGTCTATTCTTCCAGCCTGTGTTGGTGAGCAAGGGAGGAAGCATGAGGGGTGATGACTGGAAGGCAGAGCAAGAGGTGCATCCTGAGGCATCTCCGCCATGGGGCCAAAGCACCCTGCCCTGGCGTTGTTCACCAGAACGTCTATTCTTCCAGCCTGTGTTGGTGAGCAAGGGAGGAAGCATGAGGGGTGATGACTGGAAGGCAGAGCAAGGGGTGCATCCTGAGGCATCTCCGCCATGGGGCCAAAGCACCCTGCCCTGGCGTTGTTCACCAGAACGTCTATTCTTCCGGCCTGTGTTGGTGAGCAAGGAAGGAAGCATGAGGGGTGATGACTGGAAGGCAGAGCAAGAGGTGCATCCTGAGGCATCTCCGCCATGGGGCCAAAGCACCCTGCCCTGGCGTTGTTCACCAGAACGTCTATTCTTCCGGCCTGTGTTGGTGAGCAAGGGAGGAAGCATGAGGGGTGATGACTGGAAGGCAGAGCAAGAGGTGCATCCTGAGGCATCTCCGCCATGGGGCCAAAGCACCCTGCCCTGGCGTTGTTCACCAGAACGCCTATTCTTCCGGCCTGTGTTGGTGAGCAAGGGAGGAAGCATGAGAGGTGATGACTGGAAGGCAGAGCAAGAGGTGCATCCTGAGGCATCTCCGCCATGGGGCCAAAGCACCTTGCCCTGGCGTTGTTCACCAGAACGCCTATTCTGCCAGCCCTGCGTCACGGGTGCGAAACAGGGCGGAAGAGGGGTGACGATTAGAAGGCATAGCAAGCAAGCGTTGCACCCCCAGAGGCATCCCCAATCAACAGCTTGGATATGACAGTACGACTCTTGAATTGAAACGACCCAAAAATCACCTCCAATGTGTTTCGCTGACGAAGAAGCCATTTCACTAATCAAACGGATCAATAAAATCAGAGCTCACTTAGGCAATGAATGAGCTGACGGCTTCCTGATTGGAGGCCGCGGACGCTTTGGTATCAACCAGGAATGCTTCAAGAGGAACGCTGCGCTAGGAATAGCCGTCCCTGTCCACATATCCCATCGACCATGACTATCCAGCGAGCGACTCACTGCAAACGTCATCACCTTGGCAATGACTGTGCTGACGGCTGCAGCAGAGTAGGGGTAATCCAATGCCACCTTGACAGAGCACAGGCCAAAAACGTCACCTTGGAGCACACGTTAATCGTCACCTTGGCAATGACTGTGCTGACGGCTGCAGCAGAGTAGGGGTAATCCAATGCCACCTTGACAGAGCACAGGCCAAAAACGTCACCTTGGAGCACACGTTAATCGTCACCTTGGCAATGACTGTGCTGACGGCTGCAGCAGAGTAGGGGTAATCCAATGCCACCTTGACAGAGCACAGGCCAAAAACGTCACCTTGGAGCACACGTTAATCGTCACCTTGGCAATGACTGTGCTGACGGCTGCAGCAGAGTAGGGGTAATCCAATGCCACCTTGACAGAGCACAGGCCAAAAACGTCACCTTGGAGCACACGTTAATCGTCACCTTGGCAATGACTGTGCTGACGGCTTCCTGAATGGAGGCTGCAGACGTCACATTGCATCTAGCTGCACCGTCAGTTTGACAGAGCCCACATGAATCGAATCAAACGTTCCAATCAAATCACCTTGGCAATGACTGTGCTGACGGCTTCCTGAATGGAGGCTGCGGACGTCACATCTAGCTGCACTGTCTCGATTCCCAACCCTGAAAACAGGAAAAGAATGGTAAGCGGAGGAGGCGAGAGGGAAAAAAGAGACGACGAGAAGATTTAATGTGGGGAAATGTGCTCATGAAGATGACTTTTGAGCGATCTAGCTCAAAGCCATCAGCCACCTTTGAGAGATCTCTCTCATTCCCGACTCCTTCCCTTTTGAATGGTGGCAGTGGGGAATGGATTGGACTTCTAACCGCACCAGCTCTCTCCCCAACCCTGGAAGGGGCAGAGAAGAGGGGTTCAGTGCATGGGACATGCGAGCCAAGTTTTGATGCACATGCTACGTGATAACAAAACTTTTCAGAGACGTCTCAAAACAAGCTCAGTATCACGTGACATTTGACTTGCGACAAGAAGGCTTGAAGATGAACAAACGCCTCCCACTGGCCGCTTACCTGCGAGGTCCTGCATTGGCCTACCTGCTAAGTCTTGCATGGATTCGGGGCGGCGTGCGGATGCAAACACGCGACCATCTTTAGCGGCGAACGCCTTGCACAGTCCCAACCCGATACCCTGATTCGATGGCGCTTGAGACACTCATGCTGGGAGCGCTGGGACTCACACTCGCCACTTGCCTGCTAAATCCTGCATGGAGTCGGGTCGGCGTGCGGTAGCGAACACGCGGCAGCCTTTAGCGGCGAAGGCTTTGCAGAGCTCCGATCCGATACCACCGGAGGAGCATCCCGTGACGAGCACCACTGGACCCGCCATGAGCGGCTGGTGCTGCTCCGACATTAGTGATCAGACCGCTGCCTTTCAAAGGCTCGTGACGCGAGGAGGCTCTTGAAGCGAAGCGCGTGACCTTCGAGCTTCGTGCGGTGAATGAACAAACGAACGGGTTAAACGGCCCTGACGGGTTAAAGGGCACGGCTGTTCACGACAGGTGACTGTACACTGATGAGAATCAACGGCTCCTGATGGATTATTGATAGGTTTATTGATTCTTCGAAGTATTCGAAACTGATGAAGCTTCGTCTAGGAGCTAAGAGCTAGCAGTTGTCTCTGCTCGAATTTGCATGTTTCGGGAAGATCGAGTCGAACCACACGAATGGTGCCAGATGATGAATTCTGACAAAGGTGTCAGAATTCGTGTGCCAGATTATAGCATCTGACACAAAAACTACACTCAAGTCAACATCATCACCGCACTGCACCCTCCTGGTACGCGTTAAACCACATAAGATTGTGATTTCGGTGTGGGGGTGATCAATTCATTCAGAAAAAGGCTCACAAGCTGGAACCCTCGAAAAGCTCGCCTTGGGATTCGCGTAGTAAAGACCGACACGACTCCACTCGGCTCGATCGGCTAGGGTCTAGGTTTAATTAACTGGCGGTAATCGGATTTATTGACCTTACGTACCATCATGCAGTTTATGTAGTGTACTAAAGTCTCGAACGATCACACTGGTAAGCTGCGCTGCGGTCAAGTCCAGTGTGCTGGATTCACGGGAGCTGCGAGCTGCTCCCGCGAAACCCGAAGTAGCCGTTGCCCGAAGCGCAGTGCTGATTGAGAGCATCATGCTGGCTCTGAGGAGCCTTGGAAACGGATCCCCCTGAGCGAGCATGATGCTAGCTGGAGAGCATGGCCAATGAGTGAGCATACTGCAGCAGTGCAGCGCATGCTCAGTGAGTGAGCAATGTGCTAGCCGCAGCGCGTGCTCAGTGCTCAGTGAGTGAGCATGCATGCTACAGCAAGTCGCAGAAAGCCACGTGTCTGTGCTGCTGCGTTTGATGGGTGCAATTCCTCTGCGAAAGTCGCACCAAGAGTCGGAACGAGAGTCGCAGCGAAAGGTGACCCTTCCCCAGCCGGGGTTGCCTTTTGCAGCAGCGGATCGATTCTATCCGGAGCTGACAGAGAGAAGAAGGGTGACGAGTGATTGCTTAGTAGTAGGCAGGATGGACAGAAGTAATTGACCTCTCCGATCGAGCCTATTCCATACGCTTAGTACTCGTGAAACTGCAGTTCAGCTCCGCCGATAGTGTTGTTTACCTTCACCTCGGTCGCTGCCAGTTCGTTTTTGAGGAACTTGGTGTCACGCTTCTCATACGGACATGGCTAGTACGGACATGGCTCATGCGGACTCTGGAACGACTCACATTAACGATCTCTCTGACAATGTTCTTGTCAGGATTTTCTGGCCTCCGGAGCGGCCAACCCCTGGCAAATCCGAGAGCGATGCTCTCTTTAACGGCATGTTGTCTCGGCCTAAGTACATCCACGTGAACTATGCGACTGAAGAGCTTGTCTACGGGGGAAGAGACACTCTCATGCCGAGCCCTCCTGCCTCCGCAAACGCAGCATACACTCTCCTGCTTGCTTCTATCTGCCGTCGCTGGCGGCGAATCACTCAACGCCACGTGACTTCTCTCCTCGTAAAGGAAGATCGGGTCGTTTCACATCAGGATCTGCTCAACGCTGTTGCATGTTTACCGCATCTGACCCATTTGCACCTGTCGGGTAGCAGTGTGGAGACTTTGGACAACACCTTTCTTACTAACCTCGCCGTTGCGTGCCCTAGGCTGAGAGCGTTTCATGTGGGGAAGTTGATTCTGACAGAGGACGAGGGTGGAAGAAAGCACTGCCCGATAACCAAACCCGGCTTGGATAATTTCTTCCGTCGCTGCCCGGATCTGGAGCATCTGCCGCTGTATTGCCTTTCGAAGAATGTGAGGCCACCAGCTTCTTTCTTCCAGCTTCAGAATCTCCGCACCCTCGTCTTATCCAATGCGTTTATCCTCAGAACTTCGAAATGTAACTCCCTTGCTTCTCTCACTGCACTTTCCATTGAAACCACCTTCCTTCACTACGAGCAGCTTTTTAACCTCATCCATCTCACCAACCTCACCAGCCTCTCCTTGCCAAATGAGATTCGCCTGTTTTCTGATACTCCTCCTGCCTTCTCTCTCGCACAACTACCCTCCCTCAACTCACTGAAATTCGGGCTCTGCTATGCACAGTTCAGCGTTTTCTTCCCTCCTAGATTTCCTTACAGGTGCTTGAAACGGCTGCATCTTAAACACTGCAATGAGCAAGTGAGCCTTCCAGACAGTATAGGAGAGGTGATGCCTTGCCTCCAAGAGCTCAACATCTACTTCTGCAGATCCTTCACCGATTCGACTGATCAGTTCACCTCGCTCACCTGCCTAGAAAAGCTGACAATTTTCATGAGCAGCATCGTCACTCTGCCCGAGAATTTTGGAAATCTTTCTGCTTTGAAGACTCTGGTGCTGCACATGCTGCCTCTCCTCCGCCTTCCTGATTCGTTCACTGGACTCGCATCATTGGAGACGTTTTTCCTGCTTGATTGTGAGAGGGTGCATGAGTTACCAGAAGGGTTTGGTTGCCTCACAGGACTCCAGACTCTGCACCTTGCGTCGTGCTCTACAATGCACCTGCCAGAAGATCTGGGGGAGCTGACCAATCTTCAGACGTTCCGACTTGAAGACAACCATGATGAGCAGCTGCCGTTTTCATTCACGCAGCTGGTGTCACTGACCAAGCTGGAACTGGATCGGTGCTTGATTCGCAAGCTTCCAGGCGGCATGCGGGGGATGACAAATTTGCAAGAGGTGTACATTCAAAACTGCTCAAAAATCAAGAGGCTTCCAGAATTCGTGACAGCTCTGATCAGCCTTCGAGTGCTACGGATTGAAAACTGTTCCAGTCTCACTACAGTTCCCAGGAGGCTACACAACCTAACCAGGCTGAGGCAGCTGGAGCTTATGAGATGCCAGCAGCTGAATGCAAGCCTTCAGACTCTACCCTTCAGCCTCCAGACTCTTTGTTACCAAACCAGTCCGTTAGTGGTTCCTCTGCCTGACCTGGCTTTGCTTTCGGAGCTCAGAGATGTGCGCTTGGGTTTTGTTGATGCAGCAGGTCTCCTGGTGATTGCTGCCTATCTCTCAGGTCTGGAGCGATTGGAGGTGGCGTTGGGAGCAGATGGGGGGAAGGCGGAACGGTTTCTTTTTACATTGACCGGTCTTTCTCACCTCCGCAGCTTGACATTGATGGGAGCTCGCAGTTTGAAGACGCTTCTGGAATCTGATGGATCGGCCTTGCATGGGCTACGGCAACTGTGCATTGATGATCCCTTGAGTGGTGAATTCACACGTCTGCCCCCGGCCATCACAAACCTTCAGCACCTGACATCCCTTCTGATTCACGCGATAAACCTAACTTCTCTACCAGATGAGCTTGGAGCTTTTTCAAGACTGCGCCAGCTGGACTTATCAAACTGCTCATCCCTCACGCGTCTCCCTGCTTCTCTCACTGAACTATCCTGCCTGACTGATCTGAATGCCAGCGACACTCCCATCCGCTCGCTCCCTCCTGGCTTGTCCCAGCTTAGAAGACTCAAGGGCCTGAATTGTCAAATGTTTATATATTCTATATATTGTTAGATAGGCTACTGTGAGTTGCCCTCTAAAGGGTACAACACTTTAGGTCGACATTTGTATCTCCTTGTCCCTCCTTACTCAAACATTACTCTCGACACTTGTCTCCTAGCCTATCTTAACATGGTCTTGCCGTCCCTTAGGCCCCGTTTCGTCGCGGGTAGGACGGCCCCCGCGGGCCTCGTTTTCGTCGCGTTTAAGGGCCCCCGCGGGCCTCGTTTTCGTCGCGTTTAAGGGCCCCCGCGGGCCTCGTTTTTCGTCGCGTTTACAGGGCCCCACTGGCCCCTCGTTTCGTCGCGCTCCAGAAGGGACTCTCCCCCCCCCCCCCCGCGGGCCCGCGTAGTCGTTCTTAGCCCGCAGCAGCGCGCGCGTTAGCCAGCGGCAGCCGCGCACGCCACTGCAGCACGCGCATTGCAGCAGCAGCGCGTGCTTTGCTGCAGCAGCACGGCTAGGCAGCAGCGCGTGCATTGCAGCAGCAGCACGGCTAGGCAGCAGCGCGTGCATTGCAGCAGCAGCACGGCTAGGCAGCAACGTGTGCATTGCAGCAGCAGCACGGCTAGGCAGCAGCGCGTGCTCCTGCAGCAGCAGCACGGCTAGGCAGAAGCTAGCCGCCAGCAGCAGCTAGCCACCGGAACCTAGCCGCCAGCAGCTGGCGCCAGCTAGCCCCTCCCACCCGCCCACAGCCCCTTTCAACCGCTCACAGCCCCTTCCAACCGCTCACAGCCCCTTCCAACCGCTCACAGCCCGTTCCAACCGCTCACAGCCCCTTCCAACCGCTCACAGCCCCTTCCAACCGCTCAGAGCCCCTTCCAAACGCTCACATCCCCTTATCACGCGCGCACACCACCCAGGACCACCCGACCTCCGTTGGTTCGACACTCGCGTCACTCATACTCACAGTGTTTCGCACCGTCGCGGCTGGAGGCCGCTCCGCTTAGCTGTTTAGGCTAGTCCTGACGTTCGTTGTTAGCTAGGTCTCTCCTCGCTCCGCCAGCCCCTCGAACGACCCTCTGGCTCCTCGATCGGCTCGTCAGCCCTGCCTCCTCCAGCCGTGTGCTCCTAGGTCAGCTAACTCCCAGCTCCGTTCGTTACTAGACTGGCGTTCCTAGCTCAGTTTTCCTCCGTGCTCCAGCAGTACCTCGCCTAGTCCCACCTGGCGCTCCTCGCTCCTAGCTCCGTTTGCTCCGTGCTCCAGC